GGTGAACTTGAAAATGCGCCTGCGTAGAAAATGTTACGCTAATACATATCATCAAAGCAAAAATTAATACGTCTCGTATCAGCTGAGTTCTTTTTAGATTTTTTCATAATCTCCGGTGCGCAATCAATAAATAAAAACTGACAGCTGAGCGCTTCTCTATTACGAACGTATCAGAACTTTCCTGCTTGTTTTACCCTGCAAAAAAAGAGACCTCCCAAGGTTTCCCCATTTTTTTCGCATGGGTTTCCCCATTATTTTCATTCTCACATGGGTTTCCTTATTTCACGGAACTGGCCCGGTCCTGGTCCCGTGGTCCGGAAGTTTCTGCACCCCTGCGAGCATAAATACTACACTCATGAATGTTGGTAAATAGGGACAGGCGAGAAGCTAAGATTTTCCTTCATTTTTGTGTGATACCATTCTACCATCTGGTAGAAATCAGTCCACACTGATCAGCCAAGTTATGCTTAAATAGACGCTATTAGTGGCGATGTCATCATAGGGATTCTCCAATATATCAAATTGGATCCAAACAATAACATTGGCATAACCTCTTTCAATGCTACCAATGCGAAAAAATCGATATATATCGCTTTTCTGTGACGTGGCACTAAGTAATAGCGTCTATAATGAATCACCCTCAGGGTGTGCTACTAATCTATCAGCGCTACCTATTAGTGCACAATTTGATGGGGGCATGGCTATACTCCGAAAAATGCAGCATGTAATAGTGTCTACCGAGAGAGTCCATAAAACATATCATTGCCTCAATAGACAGCCGCTGAGCCTTCAAGAAAATGGAAAGTCTTTGTTATGGATAAAAGAGTAGATACGGTTCAACTTAAGTAATGGTAGAAAAGCTTCTGCCAGTTGCTTGGGCTTCAGGAGACTTGCCAGTTCCTTATAACTACCTCGACAGCGTAAGTCCGCAATCATGTATCTCGTTTGCAGTGTCTGAAAATCTCAGTCTTTATGTTGTTTTTTAAAAGGAGAACAAATTGACATCATTTCTTGAAGATTTCGCAGAATTTTCTATGCACAGAGAAGAAAAATCACGACAATTTTACAGAATTGCCGTTGAGTAGTTTTCCGTTTAAAAAATAAAGTATGACAGGGGATCTGCGACATCACAAACCAAGGTATGTGATTGCTGACTTACACCTTCGACCTATAACTTGCTACAGCTGACATCAGTTGGAATTCTAAAATTAAATGCATGACTCGCCTTTAATGATTCCATGGTGCTGGAGCAAGAACATTGCTGCTCTAGGGGGCTTTTTTTCATCCACTGAATGCAATGGATCAGGATCTAGGTGTTGCAAAGTGGTTAGACTGAAGTTAGGATTGCATATAACTGCTCTCGAACTGCCTAGTGAGAAAGATCCAAGCATTCCACTCAGGGTGTCTACTAAAACAGGCTGGCAAAAAATCAGTACTTTTTCAGTACATTCCCAAAAAATTCAGTACCTCCCTCAACCAAAAAATTCAGTACTTGAAAAATTTAAGAAATTTGAATTTCTCGCTGAAGTTGCGACAAAAATGACAAGAAATGGAAAAATTCTGGACCTTCTTACAAAGTATCTGCATTTTTTCAGTACTTCCGGACCATCCTTTAAAAATCAGTACTATTTCCGGACTTGTGGACACCTGGTCCACTGGAATGCGCTAGTGGACAGGGATAAAAAAGTGAGGCTTTTCACAGAGTTCAATTGTCATCCTTAGAGGTTTAGATGAAAAAACAGCCCTTTGGAAACAGATACCTTTCACCAGGTTTCCAAGTTTAAGGACGTGATGAACCATGCTTCAGTGCCACCATGATTTCCTTACGACCCTTCAAAAGAGAACAAGCAAGTCTCCCTGCTGATATCCAAGGTTACCCTAATTGCATTTCAGGTTCATGTGGTCCAAAAAGGCCAAAGCTGGAATTCTTTCTAGCATCAGAGAATCTTGAAATTCATGCAAAAAATACGAACAAGAAAAGAGCCTCGTGAACAATGATCGTGTGAAAATTGATAGAACATACCAAATGTAGGATCTGAACAGAAGGGCAGTGATGAAGTTATTTACTCCACAGAGTTGAAAACCGAAACAGGAACTGAACAAAGCGAAACAGAACTGCTACGATTACTTTGAATCTGTACGGAATTCGTTGGATATAGCGAGAAGGCTCTCTAATAAACGTGGAATTTCCACGAAGTTTAGCGAAGCGAAAATCTAAGACGGGAATTCAACTCGGCTAAATCGAACACGCGCGATCACTGAAATCCGAAAAAGACAGGATCGGCTCCAGGTATAAATCGAGAAACGAACTCGCGGTGGAAATTACCTGCGAAAAGAGATGGAAGAGGAAACTTAAAAACTTTTAAAATAGAATAAAATCGATGATCCTTTGGCTTGGCACTTATAATGAATGAACGAGGGGCGACCGGTAAGAGGATAACCTGAATGGAAACCATAGAGAAAAAAAAGGAGGTGTTTGCATTTCGGGCATCTTGGAATTTTAGAGTATCTATAGCTTTGATGACGTCATTGGGTACAGCGACGTTTTTATCCTGTCGATTTTCTTGGAAATGGTGTAATTTAAGGGAAAAAGTCATTCTATAAAAAGTGCTTGAAATTATATAAAGAGTTGATTTAAGTAAAAAAATCGGACATTATGGTCCGTTATTACAGCGTCAACATAACCCTCAACGAGCATCTTGTTTACATTGATGACGTAGGTGGGTACAAATCCTCAAGATGCAAACACCTCCTTTTTTTTCTCTATGAATGGAAACTGACTGAAATTGAAATAGTTTTGATGAATAATACCACAGATTAGTCCAATTTTTACAACTTATTTTTCCAATTATTCCTCTATTCGAACAGAAGGAATCTTAACCGCAAATTCTGAACCAGACGCTTTGATTGGTCCAGAGCAGTTCATTCCAATTATTCCGAGTTGAACCAAAACAAGCGGGAATTTCAAATAATTCCGGATATCCTGTCTACCAAATCGTTTCCGTTTCCGGTAAACAATGTTGTCAGTTTAACAAGCATTTCATAAGTGAAACTGACAACACTGTTTACCGGAAACGGAAACTATTAGGTAGACAGGATATCCGGAATTATTTGAAATTCCCGCTTATTTTGGTTCAACTCGAAATAAATGGAATGAACCGCTCTAGACCAATCATAACGTCTGGTTCAGAATTTGCGGTTAAGATTCCTTCTGTTTGAAAAGAGGAATAATTGGGAAAATGAAGCAATTTGAACCAATTTGCGCAATCTAATAATACGGACGGAGACTTCCAAGGAAGTGGCCATCTTAGTACGTCAATGAAGAACAGGAGTATTTGCCTACGTCATAGAAAAAATAGCGCGCTGTTTGAATTGAAACTTGGCAAGCCTTATGATTTTAGCTCGCTCAGCTGTCAGTTGTAAAGAAAAAGATGTACCTAAATGAAGTCATGCGATACATCGTTTGTATCATTCTGTTTCCTGGATCGGCTCAAGCTATTAGCGTATCCCCGCTGTTGATAGGACTATCAACTGGTTGTCTATGGAGCGCCATTGAGGACCAAACTAGCTGAAACGCACTTCATAGGAACAGACTTACCGCTCAATCATATGAACCTCCTCCTCGTCATTTGCAAAGAGAAAAAATGTCAATACTTGGACTGTAGATCTATCTAATGAGATGAGGCATGCATATACACGCTAATCATACCTGTTTTTAATGTAAAATTAAGTGCTCTGAGCACAAGAAGTCAATTAACTTGATGAAGTTCAGAAAAAAGAGACTAGGGGTCGGATTGTTGAAACTTTAGCTGGCTATGTCGGCACGATAAGACAAGACATAGCCCTACCTGCGTTGTGTAATGCATCAATTTTCGAGTCTTGTCGTGCCGACATAAATTTCAACAATCGGACTGTAGGTGCATTAAAACATACCTATTGCTGGCCATAGGGTAAATCCACAAATCTCCATTGCAGTGTTTCAAAATTTCACCTCCTATTTTACTTCATTGAAGAGAAACGGGCAAATTTTATGTAAGTAGCTAAAATCTAAACAGAATTTTCTGATAACAAGAGAAAAAATTCAAAGCAGTTTTCCAGAAATTACGCTGACTAGTTTCCCAAAGCAAAATAAAGTATCACAGGAAGTCTGTAACGTTGCAAATAGACATACATGATTTCTCACTTTGGTCATCAATACAATGAGCTAAAAATTAAGTTTCTTTGTACAGAATACTGTCGGAACTAACTGTAAGTGTAAAAATTTGTATTGCATGTAAATAGGTACCTAACTAATTTATCATCGGAAATTTAATAAGGACAATGTAGGAAATTTCGATGGGGGCAGTGTTCCAAAGTGTCTAGTTTTGAAGAGGGTTTTTGTATCTTTCCTCTCTCTCTCTCTTTCCCTCTCCCCCTCTCTCCCCCCCTTTCTCTCTCCCTCTCTCTCTCTCTCTCTCTCTCTCTTTCTTCGTTTTTGCTTAAATTTTCTTGAGATTGAAAAATATGTAAAAATAAAAAATAAAATTTTGAAGTTCTTAAATTTGAAAACTTTTGGGTTTTCAATCAGTAAAGGAAAATAAGACAAGAAGTTTCCTGCATCAGAAACGATGATAAGTAGTTTTTTAGTTCCACCTTTAATAATGGGTATTTTACTGTATATCTCTACTTCAGTATTTTTTTGTTATTTTTTTAATTTTGTTTATCGTTACTGATATTTATTTATTTAATTTTTTTAAATAAAAAATTAATAATTGCCTTAAAGGCAACAATAGTGAGTACTTTTGAGCAGCTTTGATATAATCTGCAGACATTTTTTGAGATGACATAAGCTTCTGGATTATATTAGTCTATGGAAATACCTATAATGATAAAGTCAATAGCCTGATAATATTAGCTTATTTAAAAGAAATAGGGCTTGCATACTTTTTCCTGAATACCTACAGGGTAAAAGTGAGACTGAATTTATTAAGTTATGGGTACACAAGATATTTATATGCACATAAAGATGAAAATAAACAAATTTATTAGTAAACAAAAAATACAACTTAAAATTATTATGTGCAATGAAACACAATGATCATCAAGTCTCACATTTTTCTTCACAGTCACATCAAATATCCAATCCAAAAAAACTTTGGTTTCAGCAAACTAACCAAAAGTTCGTTCTATTCTCAATACTAGGGTACAACTTTTTCATTGAAAGTGTTATTCTAGCCACCTCCCTTCAAGATTTGTAAATTTTTTGCGAGTCACTTTTGGCTTCTCCCAGTGAGGACTGATGTCTGACTAATTCAAAGACTGACTCCTGTTAGATACTAGGAACTACACACATTTTTTTTATGAAGAGGCATCTGCAAAAATACTTGTAAATTTCACTTTCCTACCAGTTTTTCTTTATTAAAAGAGCAAAGTAAGAGCAATTAAATTTTCTATTTCAAAACTGCAAGTTCACAATGGAAAATTTGACAAAAATGACATCATATTTTTTTGAAAAAAAGTACCTACTTGAATTAACAAGAAGAATTCACTCCCTGACGATTGTACACGAGAGTGCATATAACTGCCTCCTAAATATTTCTCTTATTTTTATTCTTTCACTCCTTATTTTGTACATTATTTATTTTATCCTCCTTTTAAAGGTCTCTCTCATAAATGGGTGAGTACAGATGAAACTTATCTTTAGTGAATGAACTGATGTCGATTTCATTGATGGACAAAATGGCTTAGTAATCAGCAGAATATTTGTCAATGCTCAACTGCTCAAAATAAATTCAGCTCAACCGTAAAAAGTATCCAGTCAGTGATTATTTCATACTGCAACGTGCATTTTTTTTTGTCCTGATAGCCTGGGCTCTAATTTAATGAACAACCTACTGAGCACCGAAAAGAATTTGCTACTCACTGCTTCAAACCCAAAATCTTATTCAACTCTCCGTCTGCTTTGTTTTCAGTATCTTGATTGCTTGAATCACTAGACTCTTCTTGTTTTATCGTCTCATCTGCAGGAAACATTTGTCTGATTATATGCCTGTTTCCATGTTTCCTAGCAGTCGAGTCCAATGTATTTAACATTGCATTGTACTCGTCAGTTTGGCGCTGAGAATTCTCACGAATGGCTATGTTTGCAAATCTGAAACAAAATAAACATTGTTTGGAGGNGGGGGGGGGGGGGGGGGGGGGGGGGTCGAAAAATCCAGACTTTAACGTTACATATTTTACGAGCAGGCACTAAGCTTTGGTGAAAACAGATTTTAAAAATTAGAGGGCAAGACATGCCAAGGGTTAATATGGTAGCTGCTCTAGAAACAATTAGGATGCTTGGACATTTCATTTTCTTTTTACTTTTGACAAGATTGTTTCATCTTTGGTATTCAGGACCAAATTATACAGGAATCAAATCAATCATGCATCATTCATTATTTTAAAGGTGGAAAGGGACATTCATGAGCCATAAGTGGTCTGCAGCCATCATTCTTTAAAAAACATACATCAGAAATTTTTATGACATGTATTGTAAGTGTTATAGAAATTTTACCAGTGACATGTTTCTATTCCCTGTTAGTTAATGGAAGGATACATGGAATAGAGGCAGAAGTCCATAGGGGTGTTCAAACGAATTCTTGCCGGAACTCTTTCGATATTATCTCTTGTTGAAACTGGCGGCAGTACCGACAGTGGCGATGATATTGACAACAGCCGGCCTTATCGCGTTTTTGAGAGCTCGCGCTCAATGCATTGTTGCCCCTTGTATCGGTTTATCAGATTGCCTGGCGCGGCGGCGCATGAAATAGATGTACACATGGCAACAGCTTATTTTCGCCAGCTCCGAAAACTCTGATCGCTGTTGACAAGAGCGCTTTTATCGTAACTTCTTCTTAACGGAACTGTTTCGGTAGCTTACCAACAACCGATAGAACAGCCCTAGAAGTCCAACATAATGGACCACAAGACTTACCAAGACCTTAACACCTTAGCCAAACTTTAACCTTGAAAACAATTTGCTCTACAGAAATTACTAAAATCAATTCTTAAGTGAGATATCGACGTTTTTAGTTTACCTACATTGGTCACAGGAATTTTAAAAACTATAGTCTACTTTAATCAAACTGCACACTAAAACGGTGTTGGCAGACTTAAGCAATGCTTTTCCTCCACTTTTTGATGTTCAAAGTGTTAACAACGTACAACAGCTGAGTGCTGAGCCAAAGCAGCTAAGATGTGGTGCTGTTGCACCAAGATTGATGTAACTTTATTTTCATACCGCAATGAATGTTACGGAAACATTTAGCGTGCAATCTGACCTACAAAGACTTTAGTTTTTTCATAAGTGGGAGGTTTGAATCTTCCCATCAAAAACTGTTAAATATCTTACTTAGTTGCTTTCTACGTAAAATTTTGACAAGAGCACATGTATCAAAATGCTTAAATTTGTATCTTGTATAATGGTCGACTCATTTTTTCGTGGGTTCTACATTCTTATAACACTGACAAAAATAGTGAATTAGCAGATACATGAATGAAAAAAAAACAGCAAACTTACCGAATCATAAAGTCTTCGGCTGGATTTCCTGTGAAAGGATACGGACGTCCCCTGTACACGGTATAATATTCTGGGGGACGACCAGAGAATGATGGTCCCGCACCATGTCCAAAAGGACCACCATCTGGAAACGGACCTCCAAATCCTGATGGACCTCTTTGATGACTGCTTGACAGTTTCATATCATAGTCTGCCCGAGATTGCACCTGACTCAGAACACTATATGCTTCATTAATACGAACAAACTTGTTGTGATTCTCGGGGTCATTTTGATTCTTATCAGGGTGGTTCTGTGACATAAAAGTGTAAATAAGTTGATAAAGTTGCAGCATACATACAAAAATCGGCGTGCTACAGAAGTCAGAAAATTCAGTCAGACAATTTTGGATTTTTCGGTGTTGCATCAATATGTTGTCACATACTTTTTCTAGAAAATCATAGACGATAATGGCATTTGGTGCTGAAATAAATTTGTACTAGGTCTTGTTGATTTCTCTAAAGTTCTCAAAGTTAATCTCTCTCATAAAACTTTTCCTTTTTTTAGGAGCTAGTTCAAGGATGATATCGAGATTTTTTCCGCCTTGGAACTTAAAAGCTAAGAGGAGAAAAATGGGATATTTTACCATGAATAAAAAAACAAAAATTGTGTTCCAGGCACACTCAATTTTCAACATTTTTCTAGGGGAGGACCTCCCAACTCCATTTGGCAAAGAGAGACCCCTTTGATTTTCCATGCTCCATTCTTCCGTGTTTTATCCTCCTCTCCTGGATTATAGCTCATAGACCACCACTGTTCATTAAAATTAAAATAGCTTAGAAATTAACAAGTAAAAAAAAACTTAAAAGGCTATGAATATAAAAAAATTAGTAGTTTTCTACCTAAGCACAGCAGAAGCGGACCCAGCAGATTGGCAAAATGAGATTCCTCCATTTAAACTTGTGCTGAATAACCAATCCTTGTTGGGGCACCAAGCCCCTCCAAAAATTGCCTCATTTTCATACCTTTTAATGGAGCAGAAGCAATGTTACCAACCTGCTGGATCTACCACTGAAGCATAGTGAGTGGTACTTTTAAAGCAAAAGAAAAGAGGAAGTTAATGAGCATAAGGATTATCAATTTGAAACTTCTTAAAGATTCTAGTTCCTCTGACAATTTAGATGTACTTGGACGGATGAGTCTGGGTAGAGGAAGCAATGAATATTTTGTTACCTCTTTTGACAATTTTATGAATGCATCCCGAATCTCTTTAGTCGAGCTACTTTTCTCTATTTCTAACACTTCATAGTGATTTCTCTGATCCTTTTCAAACCTGAAAAAGAAATGAACTCGGTTAATATGAAATTGCAGGGATATACAATCTTCATTTTTGAAGAGCTACTGGGCTGGAGTTAAAAAAGAAAAATATTACTGAAGGGCTGCCGCAACGTGAGAAAAAGGGAGTCATTTTTATAAGAAGTTGAAATTTGAATACTTAAGTTCATATGTTAGCATTTGATTTATGAATTTCCAAGTGGAAAAGCTCTACATTCTTATTGAAAAATTTCTCTGAGTATAAAGTCAACTCTTAAGCTCACCTTAAAGTATTACTTACTCTTTAATACAAATACATAAGATTGAACGAGTTTGTTGTTCTAACTAAATGTAGCTATTGGCTGGATTTTAAAGGGACAAGCCTGGAGAATGGGAGTAAGAGATGAAAATCAGGCCTGAAACTAAAGTACTGTAGGACTTTACTTAAGGCAGTGAATGATCTGCTGATGCTGCGTCAGAGAACTTGAAAAAAAGCAGAAACGGAGAAGAAGACTATGCAGTTGCCAAATCAATAGAATGGATACTTTTGTTTTTTTTATTCATTCTTGTTGTTAATTCTGCTCCAAAATTTTCTTTTAAGAATGGAATTATTGGGGTATTTAGAAACCTATTTTCTTTAGGCATTCAACAGCATGTAGATAAGGAGAATGGCACTCATTGAGGGTTTTTTTTTCATGAATACGCAAACAAAGCAAGCTCACAAATTTTCATGATGAATGTACATTGAGTTGTAATGTAAATGGGAGAGCTGGTGCCACTTTTAGGCATTTGTCAGGTCTTAAACTCTGAGACTCCTGTGTCACGCTGGATCACTTTTGCGATACATAATCGATTGTTTCCAACACAGAGGGACCCACTCATCCAATGTAAACAAAAAGAGGATACGAATGACGCCATTATGGATCAAAAATGTTTTAAAAAAGTGACCACAGCTCAGCACACACAGGGCTCAGACCTTCTAGACTAGACCATGGCACCAGCTCTCCCATTTACACTATGACTCTGTGAACTTACTTACTGAGAATTTGCGGCTAGAAATACCGTGTGAAAATTGGACAATGATGCACCATCAAAAAACTTCAACAAAGCTGAAAGTTGCCAGTTTGTGACAGTTGAAAAATTTAACGGTTATGGTAGCTGTTGAATTAAGTGCAATATTACTTCACATTGCTGGAAGTTTTCTTGATATAAATCTAGGATTTGTCTTATCACTTATTGGCAGTGGTCACATAAGTAAAGAACTACAACTATTCACTACTTCCCAGAACTTTACGTACACGGTAGTGTCTGAATGGATCCTCTTGGTTACTAGTTGTCAGGAATTTGAATTTGACCACAACTCAACGGCGTAAGTCCGCAATCACATATCTCGTTTGCGGTGTCTGAAAATCTCTGTCTCTATGTTGTTTTTTTAAAGGAGAACAAATCGGCATCATTCCTCAGATTTTTTGCAGAATTTTCTTCCCACAGAGAAGAAAAATCACAGCAGTTTTAAAGAATTGTTGTCGAGTAGTTTTCCATTTAAAAGATAAAGTATGACAGGGAGTCTGCGCCGTTATAAACCAAGTTATATGATTGCTGACTTCCACCGTCAAACTATCTATTTGAGGTAGGTATTTCTTGATTATCTTATAATGGACCAAACCCTTTCTTACCTGCAGGCAGACAAATGGATAAGTCTTCTGTTCTTGTAAAAAAGAGATGCTTGCGACAGACATTTCAGAGTCAACGATGACTCTAGGTTTTTTAAACAATTCATAACCAAGAGATGATATCTGTCATATTATGATTTCAATCAGGAACAGCATTCACATGTATCGACTGGAAATGTTGATCACTGGAGCCATACCAGAAGAGCCGATGACTGCGATGACAAAAGATTGAACAGCACAGTGAATACTCTCCTCGTACACACAGAGATGAAAACTTGGCAGAAAAATTACTAGGATTGAAGGTTAATGACACTAATATTCACCAAAAATTACACTCAAATGGAGGAAGGGAAGTGGCTAAATAATTATTGTATAACAGTTGTAGCGCTTGTACTTGATATATTTAGAGGTTAGAGAATTACGTCCTGAAAGATGTAAACACAGCTGATCGTTGTTGGCGAGAGGGGTTGGGGGAAAGGTAGGGGAAACGAGTCAACCTTGAACTCCTCCCCTCTCCCCTCTCTTCATCCCTAAAAAAACGGAGAATCTTATCAATCCTGAATGCTCATGTTCATGTATGAAAATTGACATTAATTATCTCATCCCCTCAACCCTTTGATTTTATGAATATTTTGATCATCAATAATCTGTTGAATTGCATTGCCCTATAGAGAGTATTTCACCAACAAAGCCACCTGTGGTCTGTAAGTTTAAGTGCTCAAGAAAAAATCATGTGTGAATGTGCGGTTATCACCCCTCTGCACGATAACCGGTGCTGATAACAACCCCTTTTAGATTTATGTAAGTAACGTGTCGCTGTTTCTTATCTCCTGCTCAACCTGTTTACAACTTCGTGAAAATTCTGATAAAGCTTTTAAGAAGAGGAGCTGTGCAACCTTTGATCCTCATTTTTGAAGTGTCCAACTGTCCAGTTGTTTTACAAAGGAATTGCATCTTTTTTGCCTAGTCACCAAACGTCTTTTTACCAAACAAGATGAAGATTGTTATTTCTCAGCTGCTTATGCGTGGATCCAGGACTCTAGCTGCCAGAAGCTGTGTAGTTGACTCAATAGGAGCAAAATTGTTTTATTCAAGTAAGTTGCATTCCAGAGTAGCGATTCTAGTGGGGATGTCATTGATCCTTTCTTACGCCTTTTCAGTAGTATGCCGCAAAGAACTCTGCAAACCTTTTATAGGAATGTGTGCCATGATCGATTTTCAATTTTTTATCGCATCTAAATCTTCTATGGATGCTAATTTAATGTCATCATTGCGCCAACTTTCTACGAGCTACCGTTTTTGCACAATCCGCCGGGAAGTTTTAATAATTCCTAGAATATCAAGAAGCAGCGTGGCGATGAAGAGTCTTCAAGACCCCGCTTTCTTTCAAAACTGGAGAATGTTTTAGATAAAATAAGGAAAAACTCAGCCGCTTGGGTTTTCCTGATTTCCTTATTGCCACACAGCGGACCAAACTCAAATGCTGAAATGAGCGATCTCATCCACTCTTCATCGCTGCGCTGCCGCCTTTTAATCAATGAATTATTGAAACTTCAGGGCAGATTGAGCAAAAACGGTAGCTCGTAGAAAGTTGGGGCAATGATGATTTTTGATCAGCATATACAGACAAGTTTAATGCATTAAAAAAATTGAAAACCAATCCTCGCACCTTTCCCTGTCAGAGGATTGCAAGGTCCTTTTACAGTTGCTGATTTTGCATGGACCTTTCTCTTTGAAACATTGTTAAGCAGATCAAGCATTTCTTAATCTGATTTTCAGCGAAGCATATTTTTCTGTCTGGCTTACTTATATTGCTTAGTCCATCTTCCGAAAAGTTTTCAAAATCAAACATTTAGCACTATTAAGCCCGCAATGGCTCTGTACCTCCTTGTATAAGACAGACATGCATTTCACACTTCCGAAATTTGTCGTCCGAAAATTGTCCGAATTTTGAAGGCATAATGTCAGGTGACTAAGATTGTGCCCATTCGCTACTTATGATTAAGTGGATGATCACTATTGGCTAGAGTCTTTGCCAAATAAGTTTATGCACTTCTAGACAGCTACAGAAGATCATCGGACATCAATTTTACATGCACAGCAAGTAAAGATGAGAAGCAAGATGGCAGATTTTCTGTCGCGGTCTGTAAGTCCGTAGACGTATTTGGCATGGACCCTATCAGAAGAAGCACATTTATTTCATCCCTCAAACCATATGTTTGAAGTTATCACAGTTGGATAAGCTATATTGAAAGATTAGTCAAGGGTGATAAATGCTCCAGTCAGCTTTGTGAAGTAATTATGTATATTTTAGATCAAGATCTGTGCCATGACATAAACCTGTTGTACTAAATACGGAAGCGAGCGATAAGTACACTTTTGCCACAGCTGCGGTTGGAGTGTGAATCCACGCACCTCAAGACTGTTTCTAAATTACATAAGTTGTTCTCTCCCTTCAAACAGTAAAAGTATCTGAGTAAAGTATCTGAGTTAGATACCTTACAGTTATCAAATCAATTATTATTACACCCTTTGTCAATCAAATTTTAAGCTGACGTCATATGCTCTTGGATCTAAATTTTTATTGGTAAATTTTTTCAGCTCAAGGCAAATATCAACATATTTTATCAGATGTAGTCGGAGAAAAGAAAAATGTTGGGTTAGTCACATTGAACCGACCAAAGGCTTTAAATGCGCTTTGCGATGCCTTGGTGACGGAGTTATCACAAGCAGTTTCTGCCTTTGATGCGGATCAAACGATTGGTGCCATCGTTATAACTGGAAATGAAAAAGCATTTGCAGCTGGTGAGTTTTTCAACCATTGTTTTAGAACCTTGTATACATCCTTTATTTTCCAAGACAGATAACATCATCCACCACAGGAGCACATACCATGGTCTCTCATACTTTTCATTAATCAATTATTGATTCACACAATTGCGCTGGTTGCTAAACTCGAAAGACAGATGAAACCAAGGTGAAAGAAATCATGGTATGCACCACCGCTGTTAATGATGTCAGGTACATGCCATTTTTTAAGGATTAATACCACCACCAATACTGCACTTCTTGGTGTTAGGACAAATTTTGTCGTTTTTTTCTGTTTTATAATCTGAAATTTCACACAACATATATATAAATAGCACAACTGATCCATTGAAAAACTTGTCATAGTAATTCCACTGTCAGTATTCCCTGAGATGGTCATCTGGAGGAACATACCAATTCTTTAATAGGAAAAACCATCGACATATAATACACTCTAGACTGCGCATTAGGAAATTTCGGCGAGACAATAGGCAACCCGGATTGCAATACGTACTGAGACAATTGAATGGCCAGTCTTGCCTGTGCCGTTGCCTGGTACGCTTTGTATGTCCGGCTGTATCAACTAAACTGAAGGTGCATCTTTACCCTGATTTACCCTCCTAGCTGTCTTACCTCCCCCGCCTAAAGTCGGGCCTAGTGCGCAGTCTAGATTTTGTAATAAGTCAATGAGAGAAACAGAACTCAACGAGAGGACTGAAACACTTCACTAGATCAGGAGAATACCACTGCACTTCTTTCACTGAACTTTTTAAGAATATTCTCAGAAGGACTAAGAAGAACCAAATGAAATTTTGTACAATTACCTAACTTTCATTAGTCATCCCTAAAAGATGTAAATCATGACAAACAGACGGAGTTTTGCAATACCATGAACCAAGAGACATGATTTCATATTGTTTTTTTTTATCTGTGTACTTCAAGATTTGTAGAAAAATTATTCTAGGATAGTTACAAAAACCCTTGTAGGTAATGTAACTGATTCAATGGCCTTTCTCACTCATCTATCCAGGTGCTGATATAAAAGAAATGTTAAACACAACGTACTCAAGTAACGTCAAAGGTGGGCTTCTAGAGCACTGGAACAAGGTTAGCGAATGTCGAAAGCCTGTAATTGCTGCTGTCAATGGATATGCGGTAAGTTTGCTTCATATGCATCAAAAGAAAAGATAAAAATATTATTTGTTTTATCATGTGTCGGTCAAGATTTGTAAATCTTCTGTTACAAGCTCATCGATTCTAAAAATGGTCTTTCCATACTTATTGTTGTATGAAAAAAGTATCCAGGGCTCAAATTTTTACTCAGTGATATTGCAGAGGTACAAAAAGTTCCAGAGTATCTATGATCCTGGGCGTTTGTTACTTAGTGTCAACTTCTATTATTCCTCAATATTTCTGCTCTCATAAAGGTTTTTAAGTCAAATCCCTTCAATATTCCAAAGTTTCCTGAGGAAAGAAAAAGGAATAGCTTTTTGGAAAATCCTTCAAATTGTCTATTGTACTTGTCTCAACGTTTGGGCAAATTTACATTCCTCATGCTCACATATGAGTTTCATGGGTCAATTAGTCATGGATGATCCACATCAACCGCCCGGTCAAAGTCTTCACCGATTTAAAAGGGTACAATAATGCAAAAAGCCACAAAAAGAGCTTTTTTCAGGTTTCCTTCCTGTCATGGAGTTATGACATGAGTGATGAATCCATATCTTATCACTTAAAAGTTGGAGTGTTGCTACATTTTGTCCCCAAGTAGGTGAAAGATCCATTCAAGGTCTTGGCCTATTTCAAAGAGCAGAATAATCAAAGATACATTGTAGGGAACCCTTTTAAGTTTCCCTTTGATTAAAAAATTGTGACCCCATATTTTATCACTGAGGTGGATTATCCTTTTCCTTTTTACCTGTTGTAATGACACCAGCGGGCCGATTATTGAAATTTATTGACAAAACTATAGACATAGAAGACATGAGGAGTATAGGGCGATCCTATTGGTTGAAATGGGCAGTTCTTATAGACTAAGGGGGTAAATGATGGACTAACTATCGGGTCTCTCGTGGGTTGCCGTTAGTTAGTCTATTACCTACGTCCTTTGTCCATTGCAACCATCCGCTTCCACCAATAGGATCCCTCCATATCCTTTATATCTTCTTTGTCTATTGCTTTGTCTATCAATTTCAATAATCAGCCTGCAGCTTGCTTTCCCTGGTAAAACCATGTCTTCTCTGGTTTCAGTTGGGCGGAGGATGTGAGTTAGCAATGATGTGTGACATCATCTATGCTGGAGAGAAAGCAAAATTTGGCCAGCCTGAAATAGCCATTGGAACCATTCCCGGAGCTGGCGGAACTCAACGTATTGCAAGGAGCTGTGGTAAGAGCAAAGCCATGGAAATCTGTCTGACGGGTAACCAGTTCACAGCGCAAGAAGCAGAAAAAATGGGTGAGCACATACATCCCTATTCTCATACTTTATGCCTGACTTAAATGTTTCATGGCAGCACTTCCTTTTGAAAGTCATTTCTTCTTTGATAGTTATGTTTTAATGAAAAAACTGCACAAGAAAAGTTTACTGCTTTGTTCAAAAATGCTTGATGAGCTGAGTTCATGGATTCTACAACTTTTTCACTGTATGAAGGAATGGGGGAAAAAATTATTTTTTATGGAATATCAGGAAGTAATAAATGAAAAAGTGCAAAAATTTACTACTCGGTGATATCGTATAGTGGCATTTATTCTGTAACATTTTCATTACCAACATGTCTTTTCGAAATTGTTCCTGTTGGGCCAGAAAAATTTACAGGAGAATAGTGGAATTTGAACGCTTCGAACCATGGTTCATGTCGATTACTGTAACTCTAGCCGCCTCCTATTGGTGACGTACGCCACTAATACCCTACTGTTTGTTTCTTGGAGGGCCAATATTGCTCAGCATTACGATGAAAATGCACTGTCTTAAAGCAGATTTTTGTGACTGTTATGGCTCAGTGTGACTGACAAGAAAAGGTCACACACTGGTCACTATGTCCAGCTTGGTAGTGAACGTGTTAAACAAGTGTATTTTAGCAGATAAGATCATTTGGTCTTAGTTCCTCCAATTAGGAACTGAAGATATCTTGCTACTCTGCTCACGAAGTAATGTATATCCATAAAAAAATTTCATCTATTTTTAAACACTTGGCAAATCCTTATTTTATTTATTTATTTTTTTGCCAGTAAGTGTTGTATTTTGAGCCATCAAAAATTCTCTGTAGAATCCATGTGAATACTTGATCTTTCATACTCCAACCCACGGAGAGAGGAGTGTCCTTTTGTCTTGGAGCCAAAGAACATTGCTTATCAGACTTGAACATTGCAAGAATTTTGACCATCTTCCCTTTTTGACCAGTCAATGCATGCTTTTTTATCTAATCATGCAGGTGTTTAACTAAGCAGCTTAAATTAATGCATTTTCTTATAAAAAATTGGATTCATACAAATTCTAGTTTTCCCATTGAAAACACCAATCAAGCAATCAACTTCCCTGGTTTTCAATGTTTAAGTGCTTTCGTGAATCAGCCTGAGAGGTATTCCTTTTCTTTTCAGGCTTGGTCAGCAAAATTTTCCCTCCAGATCAGCTTTTGAATGAAACCATCAAACTAGGAGAAAAAATAGCATCACATTCACCTATAATTGTGGCTCTGTGCAAGGAAAGCGTAAATACAGCCTATGAAACAACTTTGAAACAAGGTCTTGTATTTGAAAAGCGAACTTTCTATGCAACTTTTGCAACGGTAAGTGTAATTTTATTTTTAATCATGAATTTCAGAATTTCCAGTTGTCAGGAAAATCTGGAAAGTCAGGGAACATCAGATAACTTGAAAAAGTAAAGAAAATCATCCGAAAAATCAGGGAATTTTGCGAGTAAGGGTTTGGCTCAGAAACTTCAGCTGGTGCCATTTGAAACAATGAGAACAACTCGGAGTGCCTGTCTCCATAATTTAAGATGTAGAGATCTAGTCAATAGCTTACCAACAGTCATCATAACCAAAAGAAGAAGAAAACCTAAATTGAGATTTTGATTGAAGGTTTTGGAAAGTCAGGAAAATTTCAAGGAATCTGGAAATTTTAGAGTTTGGGAAAAGCAAAAAAAGTCCAGGAATCGGATATTGAAAAAATAATGGAAATTTTTTTACTCATAAAAAGTCAAGGAATTGGTTACTGAAAAAATTATGGAAATTCTCTAACTGTTCAAATTATCTGCCAATCCACAAGTTGAATCATCTCTCAATGGTTCCATTAAACCATCTATGTATTGGCTGACCAGCCAAATTTTCTATCGACCAACGAATTTTTTCTGTCAACGTCAAGTCGAATCGCCCTTCTATTGACCTGAAGATTTCATCTCGATTGAGCAGCCAAATCGTCAGTTTGTCAACTGTTAGATCGACCTGTCGAATTGTCTGTTGATAAACTGGTTAAATTGTCTGTGGACTGTGAGATAATTGAATGGTTTCCTGTGAGACAATTTGATTGGTTCATCGGCAAAAGACCTTCTTTTTGATCCTCAGTTGACTGAACTGGTCAATCAACCAGCTAAATCGCCTGACAATAGCAATTACTGTTCAAAAGTAACTTTCAAATTTTGTAAATACTTGAACTGTTGTTTTTCAAGCTTGCATGATGTGCTGTGAATAATTTTTGTCCTAACACTATGTTTCTGAAAAACAAGGCAGATGATGTTGTTTACACAGGTTTTCAAAGAGGTTTTCTTTCACTCTAGAGGATAATATCCCTCTTAAAAAACAAGATCCGATCTGAAATTTTTGAAAGCTGTGCGAAGCAGTCTGATCATTTCAAATAAGATTTGAGATACTTATCCAAGAGATCCTCTTTGGGATCAGAGAATTGCAAAGAAAAGTATACTGAGGATTTACAGCGGCATTGTGAAGAGGAATATCAAGCGAAGTATTATCTTACTTAGGAGTGAGGTTCTGCAGTGAAAGAAAAGATCTGAGAAACTCTTAAAGGCAACTGAAATTTACTTTCAGCCAAAATCTGCAGGAACTTTTTGAAGAGGAAGTGCTCTTAATAGGTAAACAAGCGCATGGAAAAATGAATGCCAAAAACATTATCATACATGATATAAAAAATAAGCAGTTGATTTGGCATAGATATGTCTAGAAAATGACAGATGGTTGGTTGCCCTAAATTGTGTTGGATTAGATGCCTCCTCAAAGAAGGTGGTGTGGACGTCTAGTAGAGGACTTGCGGTAGGCAGTGAACTTAGAGATCAGAAGGTGTCACTTGCGAGATAGTTTTATCGATGGTGATTGGGAGTCACAAGGCACCCTAGTGTGTTGAGATAGCAGCTTAAATATAAGTACTACATGGTTGGCATGTTTAAAAAACTTAAATGAAGTATGCATTTATTAGTATATTTTAATCAAGGTGGGGGAGAGGTAACATCCTTGCTTCAGCCCCTTTGTTGCAGAAAAACCCTCAGACAAGGTGTGTTGACACTTTATTTACATATTATATAGATAAGAGACACTTACATGTTTAATTTTGGGACTCTTAAACTCAATTATTTTGGACTGTATGCTCAGGAGGACCGCAAAGAAGGCATGCAAGCGTTTGTGGACAAGAGAGCACCGAACTGGAAAAACAACTGAATCTCTTTTAAGGTCACTCATCTGTGTGCGATGCAATCTGCGAACCGTAAGACTTTTAAGTTAAGTTGAAATTGGGAGAAATAGTTGCTGCCATTTGTATTTTTATCATCATCTCTTCAACTTTTCTCTAGTTTTGGTTAAGTTTTTTAATTTTAAGTGTTGAAGCTGTCATAAGCATATAAGGGAAAGACTCAAAATTGTGTGTTGTTGGATTTTAATTATAATTAAGGTTTTTTCCCAGGGAAAGTTATATTTTTATAAATAAAATACTCCTTTTTTACTTTTAGAAGTTGACAAATTCTTCCACATCTGTCTCACTGGTAACCTTTCTCTTTCCTGCTTGTTTGAGGGAAAAAAACGCAATTTTGATCATAAGAACTGTATTTAAAATCAAGGATAGTAAGAACTGGTAATTTATTGTTTCGCTTTCGAAAAACTCAAATTTCTTTCACCTCCTTCTTTTTTTCCTCGCGAACAATAGTATTTGTGGCATCTCTACTCTTTTCCATAAGGAAAGGTATGGTGATGTCTTTTCATTTAATCAATGACAGTTTTTGAGCTCTATGTATTTGGGTCATATTCAACAAACCATATTCTTCAGAAATTAGATACTTTCTCAAGTGGAGGGTGAGAAAATTTGAAGTCAAAGTGCTCAGAAATAAAAGTAAAAGTATGGCAGAAAGAGGTTTTGCTATTGTACAGATTTGAACAATTTTCAAGGAACACTTGTTCCTTAAAATTTCCATTATTTTTCGCCTCTGTGTGAAGATTTTTCCTAGAGAGATTCAAGGAGTAATGCTGAGTCATTCTGGGGTGGGGGTAGGGGGGGGGGAGAAAAAAAAGAAGAAGAAACACACAAGCAAACAACTTTTATCACAAGTATCCGTGTCTGCTAAGTCAGGTATTTTGACATTGGTTTAACAAAAAGTAAAACTCAAGTTGCATCTCAAATATAAGCTAGTTAGATGCGCATTGTGCNTACGCAGATTGTGAAGTTATGAGTGCATTTCAGAGTTTGCCGATGCGCTCATCGTGATTTTTGAGGCATTATCTATAAGAAACAACTCTTAGTTTTGCTCTAGCAAAAGTTTGCAACAGGCCCATTAGATACTTTCTCAAGTGGAGGTTGAGAAAATTTGAAGTCAAAGTGCTCAGAAATAAAAGTAAAAGTATGGCAGAAAGATGTTTTGCTATTGTACAGATTTGAACAATTTTCAAGGAACACTCGTTCCTTAAAATTTCCATTATTTTTCGCCTCTGTGTGAAGATTTTTCCTAGAGAGATTCAAGGAGTAATGCTGAGTCATTCTGGGGTGGGGGTAGGGNGGGGGGGGGAGGGGGGGGGGGGGAGAAAAAAAAAGAAGAAGAAACATGAGCCAGGAGAGAAGATTTTGAAAACCGTAATTGAAATGCAAGGTTTTGGGAATTTCACTGTCAGCATACTTTTATCACAAGTATCCGTGTCTGCTAAGTCAGGTATTTTGACATTGGTTTAACAAAAAGTAAAACTCAAGTTGCATCTCAAATATAAGCTAGTTAGATGCGCATTGTGCATCCAAGTAATATTTAGATTCACTTTAAGAGACTTTATGGCTTGAGGCTCACAGAAAGTTAAACAGTTCTCTTTTCAATTAGGAAATTTTTCATAACTATTTTAACATTTTTTGTGTAATTTTCATGGTCAAAATCAGTTTAGATTTTCCCTGTTTATTTGCTAACTCCTCGCTCACTTTTAGCTCATACTTTTATTGTTTTTTTCCCCTTTATTTTTTTCATAACAAATCAGAGGAGATTGCCAGAAAATATAACACTACCAGCCCAAAGCCGCTTGACAGGGGGATGCTGATAGTCCGTGCTTTCAAAAAACCCGCCGCCGGTGTTTTAATCAGAGTTGCAAGTTTGCAAACAAGCCACTCTAAATTTTTCAATCACCGCGGCTCTCGGAAACGCTGACTAATTTAAAAAAAAAAAAAAAAAAAAAAAAAAAAAAAAAAACATTTTTTTTCGTCATACTGCGTGGATCTGCTCGTTTTTCTGAATAATGCAAGTTCAAAGTTGATCAATTTCACTCTACTGTATTTCGTGCTCTTAAAATTGCACACGAAACTACAAACTCAGCTCCTCTTAAATGGTGTCATTTCTAAAAAGTTGGCACTTTCGCCTGACAATTATTTTGCAGGTTAGTTCAATTTTTCAATAATGCCCACTAATTTCATTTTATCGGTACACTCGAGACAATTATACATGATCAGCAATAGTTCAATTGATTCATCCGTATTTCTTGAGAAGGGTAGCTTTTAGGTCTAGAAAGGAATCGTTTCCGAGTGGAGGTGAAACAAGAAGAACCCGGAGTGAGGCCACTCAGGTCAAGCAATTTTCCGCGCGAGATTCAAATGTGCGGTAACCTCAAACCCTGCCCGTGTGAAGCGATGTAACCTGGCTATCTTCCAGTATTTATACTCTTTTTACGCATCTGATTCTATTTGCATCTCGGTAAGAAGCTATTTTACTAATCAGTATTATTTTCCGTCCACTATCTATTGATAAGTTACTTGTATTGTGTCAATCTCTGAATCAATAAACTTCCTGCTCATACACCCATTCATATAATGCCTATTATACCTACTATAAAGTTCAGAGCTCTTTACATGAACAATTGCTCTTCATTTTTGTTCTGAACATATAGAATCACTTGTTATTGTGAAAGGGTCATTTAAGAGGACTGAAAATGAAGGTATAAAAGTTGACTTCAGTATTTTAAGTGATAATGTTTTCTGTGACTGTCAGCTGCAAGTTTTTGACAATTAAATCAAGTCAAGTCCATGGGTATATGGTTTGAGCCCTAGAATAGGTGCTTGAAAGTTTAATGCTGGATTAAGTAAAGACCCACTAGATTTTCTGAATCTTCTCGTTTTCTTCTCACTGGTAATTATCATGCAATGTTTTTATCTGATGTCTTATGTTTCTCCAGGAATTATGGTCCATACTCGGATACATGCAAGTCAAATCTTGCAAAAATTCCATAAGCCTCCAAAGGGTGTCTGCTTTTCATACAATCTCACGACTGCAAACATATTAACTACTGTGTATGAAGGCATCCCCCAAAATTTGTTCCTGAACCTGATAGCATTTGTCGTGAGTTTTGATATTACCCTCTCTAATGTTCAGTCCTTTCTAAAATTGTAAGAAATATACCACATAAGGTAATTTGGATATCAGACACAGTGGCACTACTTACCTAACCACTCAGAATGCGAAGTGAACTTTACAGATGAGACAAAAACTTACAGTCGATCTGTATCTATTTAATGAAACCATTTAGAAGACATCATTTCTGCCTCATTGTCTTGTAAGTGTTTGTGAAACCAATTTTTGTCTCCAAAATTTTTGTATTCGAATTTAACTGGAAAAGGAAAATGGTACTTAACCTGTTGATATTAATTTTTATCCTGGGATTCTAGCTATTTTGACATCTCGAGAAATTTCATGTGACTGCTTGAATACAATCAGGACGTTGATAATTTTTTCGAAACAATTAACATAATTATATTAAGACAAATCTAATGTCATCGGCTTGAAAGTAAGGTAGAGGTATTTAAGATGAGAGCAATATTTACATAGTTTAATACTGTTTCCCTTTATTTTTTCAGTTAATTATTTTACTGTTTACTTTGATGAGGAAGAAAGCGTGGGACTATGGAAGACTATCATTGGTTCAAAATCGACAAAAAAGGTACATATTTTCTCTTACATCTTTCAATTCTTGTACATAGTTTCCCATTATAAAATGAATCATTTTTTCAAATTAAATCACAGTAAAATTCTGTTTAAACACAATACTTTTTAATTTTATTCATAGAAAAATCCTGTCTTTTTTTTTTTTTTTTTTTTTTTTTTTTTTTATTGGGAGGAAATCTGTCCCATGAAGACCTTTGATTTAGAGATTCATGAACATTGAAAAATTCCAATTATTTTTAGTACCTATTTTTTGCTTTCTCATGATTTTTCCCCAATGGAGTAAAATTTTCAGTGTTTATGGATCTGCCCCCTCAAAAATATTTTTAATTAATGTCTGAATTTTTCCTCTTTTTTACCAGAGAACCAAGCGTCTTTTACGACTCTACCGGAGACAAACTTGGGGATGAAAATTTCAATAATTTGGCTGGCAATAACGATACTAAGCACTCAACCCTTTCAGTTGATGCGGGCGTTTTTTCTTGGTGTTTGGCTACTCTCTTGATAACGTAAGTTGATTTCCTATCTTTAAATTCTATTTATCAGACAAATAAAATAAATAATCTTAGAATCTTGCACCTTAAGACAACTTATGGTCCCCGAGGTAATTATTCTCTCCGTTTGAAATTTTTTGCATTTTGTTGAGACACATTTCCATTCCAAAATCAAATCCTGATGCTAAATTTAAACTTGTTTGCTTTGTTTTTCATTTAAGTACATAATGGGGAAAATTTTTCCTCTTATTACGTGAATTTACTGCTAGCTTTTTTAGGATAATTAGTGTGGAAAGGCAGAAATACTGACTCAAATTTCCAAGTTCTTCTGAGACTAACAAATATTTGAGTGTATCATAGGGATAAAATACTGCTCTCAGATTGTCTACAGGCAGCAAAGTTTAGACATTATTTTATTTCAAGTTATGAATAATCTTGTCAAATTAAAATTAACTGATTTTTTTTTTTTTTTTTTTTTTTTCTTCCTTTCTTTCTTTTACCTAATAAGTAAATCTCTGAAGAAAAGATTATTTTAAACTAACAAAAAATGATGTGATTTCAAATTATTTTTTACCTCAAAAAGCATTAAAGAAAAATTTCCTAATTCGTAATAACATCAATGGTATTTTATGTATAACTTAATCCGACCCGAAATTTGCGTGTTTTAATAATTCGGCTTGTGCGGTTTGATTGAATACGTTTCTTATAGAAGAACATAAATCCATTAATTTCGAAAGTTTCTGTAAAATTCTACTCAGTTGTCTCTGTGATAAATTTATCCTGAAATTTTGTTGATTTTTCTTGAAAGCTTTGCGAAAAAACATAGTAAAACTTTTTTGATTTGTGCCCTGAGAGTCACAGCCCTTCTGCAAAAATGAACCTCATTCATTTCGGCTTCTAAGTTTTGCAGTTTAATGCAAGTCTGATCATCACTTTTTTCAATTGCAGTCTCATGAGTTAAACCAGTCGAAATACTTTGGAGGTTTTAAAGATTCCGGCCTTTGGAAAATGAGTCTCAACAAAATGTAAGTCTCTCTTCCCCCTCACTCCTCTCAACCTTAGAAATTTCTCATAGCAGTTCCAAAGTTTATATTTAAAATAGCAAAACATTTTTTCACCGTTTTTTTCTCAATTGCGCGGCATTTCTAAAAGCTTCAGTTTTTTTTGTGAAATTCAAGGGTGTGAAACAGGAAAAATGTGGAATACAGCTCTGGAGGTATGTTTTTGCTTGCATCTAAATTGACTCGATTTTAAAGATTATTATTGACACTTTCCTTAATATTATGTTTAAAGTGACACAGTTCAATGTTTCAAAATCAAAAATTTGATTTGATTTTGGAACAGGCATGTTAATCAACATTTTTGTGAAATTTAACCAAATTCTTTAAAATAACCTTCTTTTAGCTTCCTGATTGTACCTCAGACTTATCCTTTCAACTGTCAACAAAAAAAATATCTCTTGTTCCAGGGATGATAATATTTTTGCAAAGAGCGGATCGGATGCAGTTCAGTACTTGTTGTTTCAGCACTACATAATAAAATTCTTAGCAATAATTACAGTTGTTTCTATGTGCTTGATTTTGCCTATCAACTTTAGTGGAGCTTTTGAGGGTGATGAAAGATCATTTGGCCATACAACCATCAGCAATCTAAGTCCTAAGTATGTACCAAGTGTCTTTACCTTTAATTTACTCCGAGACCAGCTCCAAATTTCTTCAAATTTGGCAAAATTTCAGTCCATTGGATACTTTTACATAGCATGAAAACCATTCTCATTTTTCTCTATTTAGCTATTTTTAGCTCCAATGTCGTTTTTAGATTAAAGATTCTCCTTCAAGTTGAATTACCTCTTCGAGCAATTTCATGCTCAAATTGTTGAGGTATCTAGAGATGGTTTGTCAGTCATCCTGTGTTAAGTGTGATGTTATATTAAATATTCTTCATGACTGTACAATGCTCCAAAGAAAAAATTCCAGACAAATTTCTCATAAGATTCTTCTCAATTTTTGCCCCTCAATCTCTCTTTGCTCTTTGCTCATATTTTTTGGCTAGCCCTTAAGAATTGTATCAATGAGACTTTTTACAGCTTTTCTTGCAGCATATAAAAGTGACTTTATTTCTGTGACTAGATCACCTTGGATCTGGGTTCATGTAACCATAGCGATCCTATACCTGCCCCTGGCGATCTACATCTTGCGTAAATTCTCAGCACATGTGCCCCTGGCTGACAAGGGCGGAGTTTCTCGAACCTTGATGATTGTGAACATTCCGCAACGCCACTGCAACCATACCAACATACAAGCATACTTCAGAGAGGTCTACCCGCAGCTGTCTATCCAGAATATCCAGTTTGCGTACAACATTGAAAGGATCAAACATTTAGAGCGGAAACTGAAAAAGATGTTTGAGTCTAAATTTTATTGCGACCGTCATTTGCGACGAACAGGAGAGCGCCTGCAAGTACGACCACATATAATCAGTTATCTTTGCACCTGCTGCGGTGCCTGCAAGTGTGGCAAGAAGTTCGACGCCATCAGTTACTACACCAGAGAAATTATGAATCTTAGGGCTGAGGTGAGTTTTTTTCTGTAGAAAGCTACAAAAAAAGGGTCCTAACTGCTGAAAAATTCAAAGTGCAGTTTTATATTAAAACATTTTACTAACGATTTGGTATAAAAACGCCCAAAAATGCAGAACCACACATGAAATGCTGTAAGTTTGAAGTTTGCATTTAAAGAGGTATCGTTGGAGTACAGGTAATTTTAAGTTCTGAATGTAAGGGAACACTAAAACTTGGTCAGAATAAAGAGGATTTGCTTGTACTTCACTGGAGCAACCAAACTAATTAGACGTACGTTCATAATTAAGTTTTGTTATTTTGTCCCCCCCCCCCCAAAAAAAAATCAAACCTAAGTGGAGTTATGGCAGACGAAAATTTGTACCTCAACTAGGTTAGTTTTCAGAAAAAGCAATTTTACTTTTACTTACATTTTGCGAGACTCAATTTTCAGACTAAATTGCAACTTTATGCCCTTTGATGATGCAATAACAAATTTAACTTCTCTTATTTCAACTCTGTCCCATAAAAACTCTAATAGTAATTCTCTCTACTAAACATCACAAAACCTCACTCCCACAAAATTTGTTTCCGAGAACTGACGTCGCTTTGTCATAGAATTTGACGTTTCTTGTATCAATTTCACCTTTTTGTAAATTTTTCCAGTTGCAAGCAGAGCATGATGCATCTTTGAAACACCCCTTAGGCATTACATTTGTGACATTCGGAACGGCAGAAGAGGCTAGCAAAGTCTATTGGAACCACAGAGTGTTCTGGCCAAAATTTATCATAGCAAAGAAAAGCACCGTCGCCAAGTTACTCAAACCAAGCAAGTGGGTAGTAACCTATGCTCCGCCCCCTGGAGATATCTGCTGGTGAGACAATGAACACTTAATTCTTTAGTTTTGAACATTCTTCCTGGCTCTGTACTTCACGATGCTTGAAATTGCTCAGTGACTTTTTAGGACTACTATGAGGCTATGTCCTCCATGAATTATTGTGTTCTTGTATAAGAGGTATACAATTCTCATGAGCATATGAGCAATTTTCAGGTAATCAATTTGGGTTTATTTAATATAAATTGTTGTATCAAATTATTTTTTTAGGTGAAGCGCATCTGTAAGACCTGTTTTACAAATTTTGCAAAGCTTGATGATACTTTCAGAGAAGCCAGGAGTTTTTAAAAGTTGTTAGCGATTAATAATATTCTTGTTTTCCAAAGTTATTTTAGTCTTATCAGGTTTAGCATACCCAACGTATTATACCCGTGTCACCTTTTCTTTCCCACAGTCTGGACTTTTTAATCTACTAGCGATGCATTTTGAAAGCATCATTTATCTGCAGAAGAAATTTTCCCTTCTTCTATCCTGCAATGCTATGCTTAGTATGTCTTGTCAGAACATCAATAACTGATACTGTTGCAGCTGGTTGTGATGCATAGCTAGTAAATTAAAAAACTTATATCATCAGAAGGTAAAAGTTTAATACAACTCAGGTATAAAACATGGTTTTATGTCAAGATTTTTAGATTTCTTTAGAATTCAATTTTTAGCTTTCTTTAAAATTCAATTTTTTGATTTCCTTTAAAGTACATTTTTGTATTATTTTTTTCAGATTAAAAAAAAAGAAAGGAAAAGTATTTCAGTTTTTGCATTCCGACACACCTCTCATTTATAAAATGGGTTTTAACCTTCTGTTGTGTAATTATCTCCCGAGAGTTTGCATGAAACAAATTTTTACCTCTATCCATTTTGGAAACTTTCTACTCGCTTACAATCTAGATTTTTAGTGAAGAAAATAACGTATAAATCAGGTATTGGATGTATGAGGTAGATTTTTGGATCCTGAGGTGTGTGTTCGTATTCTAACAAGTTAGACATGTTAACTGTCAGAGGAATTCAATTTAAATCTTATTTCTTTACAAAACTTAATAATTTAACCCTTGAAAATTGTATTTTTACTGCACAGGGAAAATTTATCAGTATCCAGCAAATATAAATACTTGAAAGCATCGTTTACAAATGCAGCTTTGTTTATTGTTCTCTTCTTCCTAACGACCCCTGTAATCATTCTGAACACGATAAATATCCTGAAACTGAAAATAGAAGATGAGATTCATAGAATGGTAATTTTTGTCTGAATTCTTTGTTTTATTTTTACTGTGTAGGCAATAGGCATTCTATCCAAAAATAACGACAACAAAACGTGATTTGTACAACTCATCGGTTTATAAATCTCAATTTTACATTTTTTCATAATCATGTATGCTTCCTTATCCTGATGATTTTAGTTTCAAAGAAATTTCTTCCCTCCTTGAAGCTAATTTCAAATCCTAAGCCTTCCACATATGTGGCTACTTTTTTCTTTACCACAAACTTCTAGCAACCTCCTATATGGTTGACAAATTAGAGGATAAAGTTCTGGCTTCCTACCAATATTGTAGGTCAAATTTGTCTGACTTTTGGCATTTAAATTTTCGTTTTTTTTCCAGCCTAGTACTGTCGAAGAAATTTTTCCCTTGTTTACCCACATGATGTGGTTAAATTTTTGATTTTAATAAATTAAAGAATTCAAGGAATTTTTACCAATCATAAATAGTAAAGAATTATGCACTATTTTACAGAGCCCCATGTTATCAGAGTTCCTACCGACAATACTGTTATTATTTCTCGGAGCGCTACTTCCAGTTGTAGTCGTCAAATCTGACCGATGGCTAGTACATTGGACCCGATCCGAACGAAATCAATCCATCATGAGGAAGACGTTCGTTTTCCTTCTTTTTGCAGTTTTGATTCTACCATCTTTAGGTCTCACCAGGTAAAATAACAGAACCTTAATCTTTGTGAACAAACAACCTTAGTACTGTTTTAACAAATTAAGGTCGAAGTTATTAGCCTTATCCTCATTAGCGATGATGAAAATATCATGGACCTCAAAATCTTGGATGTGTGAAACCGGCTCAAATTATTCTGTATGAGTCATGTCTGTAAGTCCATGGGGCATATCTCTGGCATTTTTATAGTAAAACAACGTCTATTTTTCCTGCGATTCTTAAATTGCCCTTTCCTGCAGCAAACAACCTGACTAAAAAATGCGATCAGTGAGGGATGGCTTTAAACTGAGTCAAGTCTCCTCTTCGTAAATTTTCATTAATTTAGGGTGCAAAAAATTTCAAGAAATTGATACATTTAGCGTTTAAAATCACTTTTATTTAACATTAAATTTAAAAAGTCGTCGCTCCTTTTAAAAAATTTTCGATTCTGTGAATGGATTTTTTGTTTGAAATTCGAAAAAAAGAAAAAGAAGTACATTTGTATTTAAGGAAACAATTATCAATCTTATTTAGATATCCACTTTGTCAGTAACCTCCATTCCTTTTTATTTTCTAGTGCATCAGCTCTCTTGGAATTTGCAATTAACAAGTCGAATGAAACATACCGTTGGGAGTGCTTGTTTTTACCAGATAAAGGTGCATTTTTTGTCAATTACGTTATCACTTCTGCATTCATCGGGAATAGTTTGGAGCTGATTCGATTGGGCGAGTTGTTCATCTATGTTATTCGATTTTCATTGACCAGGTATTACTTCTTTTCGAAGAAATCAGAAAATTTGACCACCCCAACTGTGTGCCTGTATTTTAGAATAAATGGCTATGAGCACTGCTGATAAAATACACCCAGGATATTTCTTCCGCTCTCTCTGAAGGAAAAGAATGCAAGGTTCTCCCTCAACCACATCTCAATGAATTGTATCTTTTTGACTTTATAATGTGCTATTTATTAAGCAGAATTTGATGATTTTAAGATGCAAAAATGTCATTTTTAGCAAAAGAGCATCAAATTGCAAAATGGTCTCCTAAAACAACTTTTGAAAACTTTGAGAGAAAATTACATACCTATGCATTTTAATTAATATTTTTTTTGCAGATCAAGAGCAGAAACTGAGAGTGTTCGAAAGTTTATTACATGGGAATTCCAGTTTGGGGTTCAGTACGCTCGTATGTTAATTATCTTTGCGGTGACTGTGGTCTATAGTCTCTCCTGTCCACTCATAACTCCTTTTGGTGAGCAAAATTGATACTACTGTTCAACCGATTTGTATTATTTGTTTCTGGAAGCAAAAGAAGAATAATGAATAAGTAAAATTATAAAGAAAATCAGTTGTGAAATTCGCTCAGACCAAATATAGAAACTATTAGAAAAACAAAAATGACTGAATCCTTTTGCAATTTTTGAAAGAATGCATACTATACTAAAGGGACTGTCTGCAAAGTGTCTTAAAATGTTTGTTCCCTTCTGCATGTACCCATTTGTCTTAAAATGAGTCAGCATATCAAAGAATCATTTGAGATGGAAACTTTTAGAGCAGCAAAAATCAGTGAGATTTGTCGATGTCAAGTCTCAACGCACATATTGATGGAGACATTGCCCTCGAGGAAACTGAATGGTTGATGACATCCGTCAAGTTTTTTAAAGGGTGATCTCTATTTAGATTGGATGTAGAACTTTAGCGTCTGAAAAAAGCTTGATGTTGAAGTCACTTTATTCCATTAAGTTAAAGTTATTGTAATGCAAGCTGCATAAACTGATGGAGAACAACTAATACAAATACTGTGTATTTCTTTACAGGACTAGTTTTTATGTATTTGAAGTACTTTGTGGATCGTTATAACATCTACTTTGTTTACGGTCCGTCAAAGATCAGTCGGCAAATCCATATTCTGGCCATCAACTGCGTGATGGCGTCGGTCGTTTTTCTCCAATTCAGCTTCCTGTTGCTATGCATCCTGCGGAGAGGCCTCCGAGACATCACAATTTATTCTCTCATCGGTTTTTCAATCACGCTGTCGCTAGTTATGGTTCACTGCGTTTTGCCGTGGTGTGAAATTCAAAATCCCATTTATCAATGGGTAAGTAATCCTTTCCTTCGGCACATTCTTTTAAGTTGAACTTTTTCTATTAACCCAATTTTGAACCTAAATCATTGTGGTCTCTTTATCTATTTGTGACCATCTACGACGACATTGCACGCATAGCCATTGCATACAGGAGTGGTGCGATAAAATGGTGCAGAAAAGTTTTAAAGTATCAGACCAAATCAGAACTACGACAGTTTAAAGTTTTCAATTCAAGACAGTTGTGAGAAGAAGCAATTTAAGGTTTTTATCCGCAGAGATAAAGGCTCACAATTTTTGAACTAAAATGCAACTTCACTCTCCTTAAGGGAGCTTTCATAAATTGCGTAAAATATCCGTGGTGGAATGCAGCAGCCTGGGAGATAGAAAGCTTTCCCAGAAGTTACTTACCAAAAATTAATTAAAAAGAAGGGAAAATAAAATGAAACTGGCAACTAAGAAAGGCAAAAAGACCTACTGCTTTGAAATCTATTTAATTTTGTTATCAAAAATTATTTTGTAAATTTTTAAATTTTATATTATGAATGTATATTTTGTGTGGAAACACTGAAGACTGGTGTCTTTTCACCAGAGTTTACTCTGTTGATTGCAGCGCATTGCTGGTTTCATTTTTTAATTGAATCATTTTAATCATTTTTTTCCCCCTCTTGGCTCTTACCTGTTAATCTGCTGTTGATAAAGAAACTTCTCTGTCTCCTGAGATTTTCCTTATTAATAAGTGCCACAATACTGAATTTTTGACCCAACTTGGCAAAAATTAGCCTCTTGTAAACAAACTTGAGAACCAAAATCTCTTCCCTGAAACGGTGGCATTCATTTTTGGTTTTTTCCCCCCCAGAAAAAAACCGCCAGCTACGAAGCAGACTGCCATGAGAACATTCTGCCCTTCTATCAGTCATCTCTGTGTTCATCATCCATCTATTTGCTGCTGGAAAAAGACCCAAACCAGTATGAGCTGTATTCCTACGCATGGAATGTTGTATCAAATCCGATGTTGGATCCGATTCCAGAGGAAGATGTGCTGGGGGACCCTGATACTTTATGCAGTCCGTCTGATTTAGATGAACTCATTTCTCACATCCGCAAAAATCCACGCTGCAAAAATATTTCTGGTTGTCAGTTTCCCAGAATGCATGTACATTAAGTGTAACTTCATCATTTTATGGTGTTTTGATCGATTTTGATTTACAGTATTGATTTGGTGACAACCTACGAAAACTTTCTATTTTCAACAAAAGAGCACACATGAGTTTAATGAATCATTTACAGCAATTAAAACTAAAAATTTCAAAAGAAATTATAAAAATATTTGTCTGATGAAAAATTGTAAAGTTCGATTTAGCAATTTAAAATCTCGAACACTATGAATGAGTCATTATCAATTTTAAGGTCAAGAATAATTTATAACAAAAAAATAAAAAATTTGAATAGAGCTCAAACAGATTTGTTCATTTTTAAGCACCTTTTGATACAATGGATATTCTATTGTAAAGCCTAAATAATTCCTGCATCAAGCTGAGAGTGGATTTCTCAGTAGAAGATTGATGTATGACGAAAGCGTTTGTCAAATGCTAGGAACCTCTAGAAATTGTTACTAAAATTTTAAGCAGTTACCAAAGGCAATTTCTATTGAGAGTGGGTCATGTGTAGTAAAGAGATGTCAATCATGTACAGCATCAACAGATAGAGTGAGTAAAAATAATTTTATTTTAAGGCCACGAAATTAGGTACAAGTAAAATACACATTATTAGGAGGAACAAGGTAAAAACGGTTAACAAACAACTTGATTTCGTTAATTAGCAGTCTTTGTTCGACTGGAAATAATCATAAAAAATTAAAAATTGAAAGAATTACTTTAAACTCAGTGAACATTAAAATCATTAGTGGGATACATTCCGATCAATCTTTGGATTGGTTCTTCCTTGATCAGGAAAACGCTTAGAAATAAAATAGATCATACATACAAATGACTTCTTTTTTAAGCAGGGGGACTAGGGAAAGAGAACTACATCAAAATATTAAACTTGAAAATAAATCTCCATTTTTGAATTGAGGGAAACTATTAATCCCAAATACTGAATAGAACCTCGACCCAAACGGAGGGAATATGAAGCCACAAACTACAAGCATAAATCATTTTAAAGGGTGTGTTGCCATTCTTTCGACTCTGTCAGCTAAAGTGATACCGACAATCTTTCGATAGAAATACATTTAATGTAATTAAACAAGGTGCAAAAGTAGTTAAGTAGAAAATTTTCTGTACTTTTTCATACTCTTCTTGGTCAGTAACTTATTTAATCACAACATATGACCTGCTCTAAGATAAATGACTTGATCTTTCTGGATAGATAAATTAATCTTTCTAGAGAAGATATTAAGGAGATGCAATTTAAGATGACAAGATAAAACATGCCATGAGTTGTCATCAAGACTACTCTCTAGTTGTCTTCAGAACAACCCACAGGCTGTTAAATCTGATTTATCACCATAAAGGGCTTTTCCACAGAATTCTTGGGAGTTTCATACCATTCCTTGCAACTCAACTCTAAAATCTTACATTTTTTTTCCTTAGAAACATACTTTTCAGTTAAAAAATTGTAATTTATCCATGATCACCCTTGTTAAATATTTAGCTGTGGCAGTCAAACACGCCCCTCCAAGCAGAAGTGCCAGTTACTAAAAAGATTGGTGAATCAGTCATTTTTCCTTATAGCTGGTGACTTTTCTTGTGACTTTACTTTTCACGATGAAATGAATTTTTGAATTTGGACAAGTTCAGATGTGCTAATGCACAGCATTTAAACAGTTAGTCATTAATAAGGCGTTGCAGAGATGATTCAGAAACATTTGTTACTAATGTTTATCTTCCCTACCCCGCCTCCTTCCTTAAACTTGGCGAAATGAACACCAAATAAATTCAAGTGGGACTCATGAGTCATAACCGTACATGCACAAAGATATAAAATGTTATGTTTTCCAAACTTAACACTATGTCTATGTATCCTAAAATCAGCCTTTCAAAACAGAAGAAACACGCAGCACAAAACAATTATCAATTATAGATACAAGAAAATTACAACAATAAAAGAAATCTTCAGTGAGCCTTGTACTGGTAAAATGTTCGACTCCAATACTGAGCTTGGGGATTTGAAATGGTTCACAGGAAACGAAGAAAATTTGCGATTTTTCCATATCTGAATACATATCATACATGCGGTTTGCATGTTCAGCAGCCTGGTTGTTGAAATTTTTTGTTTGTTGGGACGACATAGATGACATAAGTTAAAAGGCGGAGCGTGATTGGTTGGCTATGTCTTATCGCTGCTTTGTCATGCCTTTGTCAGGTAGAATGGACGACATACTGTCGGAAACTTAAGAGGTGCCTTTAGCTTGTCGTGAGTTCAACCCGAAATAGGCACGACAAAGCAGCGTTAAGACATAGCCGACCAATGATGCTCCTCCGCCTTTTAACCTATGTCATCTATGTCGTCCCAACAAACAAAATATTTCAACTATCAGGCTGCAGAAATTTGTCCAAAAAGTAGTTATCGCATTTTTTAAACCTTGCCTTTTGAGTTGCAAGGCTCTTGAGCTGTGAGATCTAATCAATTTATATTGTTAAATTAAAAAAAGATTGCGTTGTTGAAGAGCAACGCCAGCATAAAAAAAAACAAGCACTATCACTCAAGCTGAATAATGACAGAGAAGATCAAATACCTATATGCATACCCTGGGTGCACCTTTGCTCTGGAAGTTTTGCTTCCGTTTTAAATTTGTGACCGCCCACAAGAAAAAAACCACAGTGCCACTGATTTAAAATGTGTTCACGGCTGGAAAGAGAGTGTTCCAAAAAATTTTAACTAGAAGACCCCACAAAAATTCTAAATTGAATCAGAGTAATAATGGTTGGGAGTTGTCAGTTCAAAATAACATCCTTTCGAGAAAAAGCAACTTTATACAAAAGTCAAGTTCTACCATATTCAAGGTTCAAAATTGACAGTTTAAAATGAAACTGCGACTCTCTGTTGGCACTTGGCACAGAAATGAACTAGATGGCTCACGACTTTCCCTTTGAATCTTGATGAGCATTTTTTGTCAGACGAAAGTTTGATTTTTCAACTCACTTGAAGAAAATTTGCCCTCTATCCCACGAAGGTCTTTTCTTAGTGGACAGTCAAATTTTCCCAAAACTTTAATATTTATAAAATACAAAGCTACCCAAATATACAAATTTCATCGCAAAAAATTCTCAAGTTTCTGCTGATAAATCCCTGGTTGAAGTTTCAAATACTGAAGAGACAAGCTTATATTACTTTGAGATCAAGGTCAATGTCATAAAAAAAAAAAAAAATTCAGAAAACAAGGTCATAAAAGAGAAATTCACAGAATCGAAAGGCGCCAGCCTGATGAGGTATTACAATAAATTAGATTCTTGCGATGAACAGACTCAACAAATTAGCTACAATAATGAGCTATTTAGACACACGGACAACTAAGGTCTTATCGGTAGGGCTTCTGTTGAATCTTACTACAAATTTAAGAGATATTTATCTTTTGATCAGAAAAAGGGAATTGAAATATTTATACTACTAGTGGGTACTAGTATTGGGAAGCAACAATAAGCAAAGTAAAAAAATTGGCAAGGAAAAATCTAAATTCTGAAAGACTGCCATCTTTCAGTAAAATACTTCAAAGACTTAGAAGACTTAATTACAACAAGAAGACTTAGAGTCAAGCTCAAACCTCTCCTGTATCACTTTGATTGAAGAACAATGTATACAGGTTCAATGATAAAAAATTTCATAAAACGAGGGCAAAAATTATACACATTAAATCACTGGTTAGAATATAAAAATTTAAGTAAAAATAAACTCAAGGCTTTGCAGCCTTTCTTAACGTATGGTCAATACTTGAAGCTTTATCTGCACAAATTGAAATGTACGGATAAAGAGCTGTAAGACATAAGAAAACAAAGAATAAAACAAAAAGGATTACGTGTTGTCGAAATATTCTTGGTAACCTTCTGCTCCTGTGAAGATAACATCCACCCATATCCTCATGGATTCGGGTGTTCGAGCCATCAAATAATATGTTCTACCTTTCGTTTTCACAACAAACGTTAGGTTCGGGTGTGGAGATTTAACTGAATTTAGGTGGTCGACGTAAACTTCTTCTATGGCCTGAAAAAAATAAAAAAAATTACACAACTGAAAATGAAGTCAAAAGATTGTAGAAGGGACAGCAATCCACCAGTTTGATTTTAAAATTCTGAATGATAAATAATACGCTTTCTCTATTTCTTGATCACATTGTTTCACTCTGCTTTGTTCCAAATATAATCATAGTGTGAGGAACAGGTACTTGAACCGCAATTTTTTCTGTAAACACGTCGAATTGAAGGGTGCTGAACTCTTTGCAAAAATACTTATGCGCAGCACCTAAGATGTAAACTGAAATGTCTCTTCATAAACTACTCAGCATTGAGAGTATTACTACAGTTACCATGCAATACAATTTATTTTCTTCACAAAAAATTAGGCGAAAGAGAGAATTTTGAAAAACTGCAATCAACATGATAAAATATCCTTGATTCCACCCAAAGTAGGTCAAACCAGAAGTGAGACAAAAAGAATGTTGAGGTATCTCAGTTCAAGACTACGCAAATTTCCTTCAAATATTTTCTCTTTTCAGCAACTACCAATGATCATCTCCAATCTTTTTTTGGCTGAGAAGTAAGTAAAATATACTTGAGACATGAGATAAAATTTGAGATTGGCTTACAGGAAAATGAGTGACTCCTCTAAGTTTTTTCTCGCTAGAGTCGCTGTAGTAGGAGAAGACACGGGTTGTGCGGTCGAAAAGGAACCAGCGCTTATTCCAGTTGTGAAAACGTGAGGTCATTTTTTGCAGATATCCACGACATGACGTGCTGTCCAGCGTTATGTGCTGACACAGTTCTACTTGATGGCCGGCACTGATGATGTGTTGTCGCAAGTCCAGTGTCTCTCCGCTTCTGAATGGAAGGTAACGAGTTAAGGGTCGCTGAAATTAAACAAAATTCATGATCGTTATTTTTTTATAAGATAATTAATTAGACAAAAAAAATTTATTGTACGGTTATTTGGAGAAGAGACATGAATTTAGGTTTTGATATTTTTGCTTTAAGCACGGTTGCCATAGAATCCAGAAAAAGATATTCCCTGACATTTCCCGGACACATTTTGGTAAAATTCCCTGTCAGTTAAAGATATGTCAGACAGTTAAGAAGACATAATTTGAACATTTTTTACGGCAAAATTTGTTGTTCTAGATGTCAAACCCAGAGCAAATGAAGGTGACTTAACAATTTTCTCCCTGAAATTTCCAGGTTTACCCTAACTTCTTAAAATTTCCTGACATTTCTCAGTTTTCCTGATATTCCCAGACTATGCCAACTCTGTTTAAGGTTGTCTGAAATCAAGAGATGACAGAAGATTCAAATTTTAATGTTTCTTCTGAGGCTTCTTCAATGGTTGGAATGGTGGATTTTTTAAGGACTTATTGTTAAGAACACATCATTTTCCTCCTTTACGTATCGATATCGAAGTTAGGTATTCTATTGAAGTATAAGAAGCTTTTATAGAAAATAAAGAAAAAGGTACCTGAACATTTCTCCTGGGTCTAGTCTGCCGGGAAAGGGTGCTTAGTTGCTCCTCACTAACACAAGACGAAACCTCTGACCATTGTCTGCTGCCTGTTCCATCTTCTAATTCTGTTAAGTAGGATTTTGACTTGAACTGGAAAATAGGCAAAAAATAAATTAAAACACCAAAACAAGAAAACAGTGTGCATGAATAATACTGAATGTTCACTTGAGGATATGATTAAAAACAATTTCTGGCAGATCATATTTAGAACCATTCTTACAGCCCTGCTGACAAATTGCCCTTAGGTTAAGTAGTTCAGGAACTCCGCTACATATGTCGCATTATGAGAATGCATGGCTTTGGAAAAAGAAAAAAAAAAAATCAATCGATGGAATAATGTCATGCTTAAGGATCATAATTCATTTTTGGTGATTTTGGAGCTCTGACATTTATAAAGAGGCATTCTAAGCACGTGAGGAGAATATAACATTTATTCGTAATTTTAACGTGTTTTTTTCCTGGAAAAAAGGAGTTCTAACTTATAAATCTTTATCCGTATTAGTCTGCTGTACTTTTAATGATTTTGGTTCATTTGAAATGAAAGCAAAAAAAGGTGATTTGAAATTTTTGACCACTTATTTGCAGGGGGTTTTGACTTGGGACTGTTTAACTTTTATTCCAAACGATGCACGAAACCTTTGTAGTACTCTGCTTTTGTTTTTTAATTGTTTTCTTGAAATTTGTTTTTTTCTTGCAAGTTTTGTATGTCTTCTCATAAAAATTTAACACAATGCTGAAATGATTGTAGTTCATCACTCTCATCCACATTTTTTTCATGCTGCATCAGCTCATGAAAAGAACGGTCAAGGAGGTGCATTCAAACGTTAATACTGAAATGTTTCCAATCCATCCAGGAAAATTAGCCCAAGTGCAGGGGTAAGAAAATAGTTTCTTTGATTTATTTGGAAAATTTGGGATTTTTAGCATGGCGGTTTTAGCATGGTGCTACACAAGATACGTTATAGCAGCAGCCTGATTGTTGAAATTTTGTGTTTGTCGGGTGGTCATGGACGACATAGGTTAAATGGCAAAGCATGATTGGTCGGCTATGTCTTATCGCTGCTTTACCGTGCTTTACCGTGCTTTGTCCATTGGAATGGACGACAAACTAAAGGCACCTCTTGAGTTTCCGACAGTATGTCGTCCATTCCAATCGACAAAGCATGATAAATCACGATAAAGCACGTTAAAGCAGCGTTAAGACATAGCCGACCAATCACGTTTCGCCATTTAATCTATGTCAGCCATGTTCACCCGACAAACAAAAAATTTCAACAATCAGGCTGCTGCTTTTGGTGCATTAAATACAGTTGCAGCTGAATGTTCAAAACTGGAGATATAGGGACTCACCTCTTCGCATGGGACAGAATTTAGAATTTTCGGTGAATTATTGCTGTTTGACTTATCATTAGTCTTCCCGCCATCTTCATTGATAACACTGAAAGAAAAAAAAATTGAATTGAGAGCAACTGAAAAAAAAGGGTTGAAGAACCCAGCTAAAATAATGATTTTCTAATTTCACTAAGTTTGTGTGTTAAAAGATAACAATAGGATGAAATATTGCAAAAAAATGCGTTTGTCAAAATTTGAAATTACTAAACATTTCCGTTTTTATTAGCGAACGACTTCTGATGGGATGGTTTTTGACGGCTGAAGGTTTGCTGGGTTTTCTCCATTTTTTAGATTTACAGCTGAGTGAACTGAAGAAAGAAGACACCAGTAAACGGTGAAAAAAACAATTGACGTTTCAAGGTCTGTGATTCGAACAGATTGGAGGTTTACTTTTACCATCTATTTGTGACTGGGTCTGTGAAAAGGGACCATACCATTCAAAATTCAAATTTGAGTCAAGTGACCATAAAAGCTTAAAAATTGGCACTCGCAGCATGCATGGCAAACGCAAAGGTATCTGAGCAGGTAGTTTAAGCTTTCGCAAAACACTACCAAAGGATGAGGTCCCTTTTCACAGATCCAGTCACAATTATAGTATTTCATTTCTACATTGGGTTTCGGATTAAATACTTAGTTTTAAATTAGGTAACACTAAATATTGTCAAAATTTCATTTTGAGATTCTTCAGGGTTGCCACAGAATTTAGAAAATGAAATTCTCTGACATTTCCCTGAGACATTTCCAAGAAATTCCCTGACAATTGAAGATGAGACGGATGGTTAAGAAGACATTTAATTAAAAGTAGTTTTCAGGCAAAAGGAGGGGTTATCAATAAGGGCCTTTTTTGGCCCCAACTAGAATCTGGAAATTTATGCGGGTTTTCCAAGTTGACTTAATTTAGTTTACAGAAATAATCATGATTTGGTCCATAGGCCACTGCATACGTGTTAAATGGTTGCCTAGACATACGTCTGGAGGTGTATTTTAGCGAAAATGCGTGTTTATCCATCACTCCAAGGCTTTTTTCACACCGAGCGCATCGTCTAACTAAAACGAGCTTTTGATATGTTATCAAGGAGGCTTTAGGACACATTTTAACCTTGGTTCGGTTTTAGTTAGATGATGCGCTCATAGTTAAAAAAAACTTTTTCAAAAATCGACTTCTGAGGGACATCCGCAAAAATCTTAGGAAATTACGCCGTTAGGGTTTTTATTGGCTACAAGTAAAGAAAATCTTCTTGTAAAAGTTTAACAAGGCTTCATAACTGCCCTCGATAATATACGTAGCATGCATAAAGTTGGAGAGACATGTTTCCCTAAGATTTTTGCGGATGTCCCTTAGAAGTCTTTTAAAAAAGTTCTTTTAAACTATGAGCGCATCATCTAACTAAAACCAAACCAGGGTTAAAATGTGTCCTAAAGTCTCCTTGATAACATGTTAAAAGCTCATCTTAGTTAGACAATGCGCTTGGTGTCAAAAAAGCCTTAGAGTGATACAAAAACACGCATTTTCGCTAAAATGCGCCTGCAGACGTATGTGCAGGCAACCGTTTAACACGTATCCAGTGGCCTATGAACCAAATCATGATTATTTCCGTAAACTAAATTGAGTCAACTTGGAAAACTCGCGTAGATTTCCAGATTCTTAGTGGGGCCAAACAAAGCCCTCTAGGGGGGCCAAAAAAGGCGCTTATCGATACCCCTCCTTTGATGTTCGAAACCTCAAACCCAATCTAGAATGCAAATGAGGGTGATTTCACAAATTTTCCCTGACATTTTCTTCATTTTCCCTGACATTTCCCGGTTTTTCCAGACTTTTTAAAATTCCCTGACAATTCCCGGTTTCCCCTGACTGTGGCAACCCTGATTCTTGGGGGATGTGCAAATTAGAAACCAAAAATTAAAAGCCATACAATGAAAAACTTGATCCTAAAAAGCTATCTTGCATAAGAAATTCTTACTTAAAAAGGTTGATTCTGAATGATTGTAAGTTGGACTGCGTTAAACAGAAAGGAACAAAGGCACATCAGCGATTGCCATATTTAAGTGGGCAATTCAATTTTTTACATGAAAACGGTTGTGCTGATTTTCGTGCGAATTTCAGTGAATTTTCTCCTTAGTAAAAAGCAAATTCCTCAACATTTTTGAAGGAGTCCGCACAAATGTTCTCTCGTAAAAAATTTAATAGCCCACTTAAATTTGGCGATAGCCGATGTGGCTTGGTTCCTTTCTGTTAAACGCGGTCCAATTGTACCTTTCCGAGAGAATATCACTTGATGTTAAACTAGATTCTTCACTTGCGATGCTGTTCAAGGAGTTGCAATTATTTTCGCGCTGCTTCCTCTCTTCCCACTGTGCATGCACCTCAGTTTGCACCCTTTGTTTCAACTCTAGGACCCGTTTGCGTTCTTCTTCAATTACTAGACTACCTAAACAACGAAACAAAATAGTGATTAATTGAGAGGAAAAATTTCCGATCAATGAAAAATTTTCTTGTGTCTGATGAAGTGAGTCAATTCATTAATTTGTCTTTGAAAACATTGCTCAGATATCAGCAGCCTAATTGTTGAAATTTTGTGTTTGTCGGGTAGACATAGATGACATAGGTTAGACGAAGCGTGATTGGTCGGCTATGTCTTATCGCTGCTTTATCGTGCCTTTGTCAGGTGGGATGGACGACATACTGTCGGAAACTTAAGAGGTGCCTTTAGCTTGTCGTGAGTTCCACCCAACATGGGCGTGACAAAGCAGCGATAAGACATAGTCGACCAATCTTGTTCCGCCTTCTAACCTATGTCATCTATGCCTACCCAACAAACATAAAATTTCAACTATCAGGCTGCAGATTGTGTGAGTACAGATGAGGTTTGTTGAGTCAAACGTGTTTTTTTTTAAATAAAAAGAATTTGCAGTTATATCTTTTTCTGTTTCCCGACAAAAGCACATTGGATTATGTAAGAATTACAATAGGGAAAAATTTACAGTTTATTAAGTCACTTGCATCGATAGAAAATTTTGACCTTTCCACTAGAAAACGATAATGAAAGGTTTTTACATTACGAGTGCCTTAAACGGTGAAGCAGGTAAAACAAAACTGCACTTCCGTCAAAACTTCCTTCAAACCTTAGACTTTTTGACAAAGCAAGTTTCCACTGAAATTAATACAACCCTTTTTATTGTTTTGGCTATTGTGTGATGGAATACATTTTAATGATAAGACAAGAAATCTTAGAATGCCGTGTTTCAAAATTTGTATATTTTTACTTTATGGGAAAAAACCTGGAAAAACATGTCAATTTCCTCAAGAATTATCACCTTTCAGACCGCAGTTATCATTAAATCAATTCAATGTTAAAACACTGACACTGATTTTTGTGGAACAACCATTCATACTGTAATGACTTTCAGAGATGGAGACAAATTAATTTTTTCAGATCGTAAAAATTACAAACCTTGCTTAGCAAGAACCAACTGCCGATTCTTCTCAATTTCTCTTAAAAGGGCCACAGTACGGCGACCAAGAGAATTCGATTGGTTACTTTCCATAATCGGAGTTCCTAAAGTTATTTTTGAGATCCGGTTTAGATCGTCCATTGACTGTTGCTTCAACTGCTTATCTAAATCCTGCAGAAAAAGATATAAATAACGTTGAATTAGTAGAGGTGGGGATTTTTCCCTCAGTTTTTCTCATTTTCCCTGGTGGTGGATTTTTTTTAAACAAAAAAACCAAGTTAAGATGATTCGACTGTTGCCATTTTTTGTGTTAGAGCGATGTAAGGTGTGCGATGTATCGCATCAATTCGTTCCATAATTTCAGCTACTTGTCATTTTTTCGAATTTTAAGATCTCACTTCTGTTATTATGAGACTAAAGAATTCATGTACCAACTTTGACAAAGGAAGTCAACATATTAAAGGCAGAGTTTTTTTAGAGGTCGCATTCGAGTGCAGTTTTGATATCGGTATCGAATGCGACATTTTTCCTCTAAAAAAACCCTGCCTTTATTACGTTGAATATTTGTGTCAAATTTGGTACAGGAATTATTGAGTCTCATGACAACAGAAAAGCAATCGGAACGAACTGATGCGATATATCGCACGTTGCTCTGAAACAAAAAATGGCAACCGCTGAATCACCTTAATTTGAGAACAGTAATTTAAAAAATAAATCAGCTTAGTAAATTCATGGTTTCTACTGTTGGTGCACACAAGATTTATTTTACCCCTCCAGCTCATGTTAAGGTCATCTTTGGAGTCTTTTTTCAACGAAAACCTAAGAAAGAAACCTGGTTGGAGAAATCTTTAAAAAGATGCTGCCAATTTCTTTCTTTCATGCCCAGTCTGGGTATGAAGCACTATAGCACTTTTTGCAAACCTGTTGTGATATTCCAAAGATTTTTATTGTGCTTGCTTGGGCATCAGTAGGCTTTATGCCCGCAAAAATTTACTATCATTTTGAAAAACCCACAAATGACTTTATCAGTCGATTATTTTAACTCAGGATGCAGAAGAACTTAACGAGAAGAGCTCTAAAATAGATAGAAACTTACATCATCAGATTCAGAAGATTCTGGGGACTGCTTTAAAATTGATTTACTTGGAGTTTCACAATGGTTAACGTCACCGAGTTTTATATCCAACTCTCGTATTCTGTTGCGGGTCTGTTGAAAAGAGAACAAAAACGTTACATGAGATCAGTCTTAAATATAGTGCATCATAATAAGTGTTTTAATTTAATTCTGAGATTTTGGGTACCACTTGGTTAGCAAACTCAACATTGAGGTTCCATAAACGATTTTTTAGGAGTCAAAAAATTTTACAAAAACATAGATACAGCAACAAGTAACTTTACTGGAAGGAAGAATTCGGCTGAAATCAAAGGTACGTATACATATTTTTTAGGCACCATGCTCGACGAATGCCTTTCTTTATTATGACACTCAAGTCTGATTTTTAAGCAAGTTCTGCAAATGGTTCCTGGTGAAAATAAAACTAAGATTAAAATAAAAATACTTTAAAAATAACCTCACACATTGCACACGGACACTTGTTTCCTTGAGACTTAAAATTCAAATTGATGAAAAATACAGATCACGTTGCTGCGGCGCTTTACTTAGATTCGGAAATTAAGATTGCTCCCTGAAAAAACATAACTCTTAAAAGTTTTAATAGTATTTAAAATGGGAAAAATAATGAGAAAAAAAAATCTACTAAATAGTAAATTAATTGCATTGATTGCGGGGTGCGTGTGGACTGGCTACTTACTGTAAAATGTGATCAGGAAATTTCAGTATCCCTCCATTACATTAAAAGGAGATTATACAAATAGTAGTGTATAATTTGAGTTGAAAAACACTTTACCTCTTTAATATTATTCAGATAGGCAATGAGCACGGATTCCAACTGTTTAGATTCATCAGCCGCATTGCTTAAAACCTGCTTTTGTTGCAGTCCTAGCTGAGCAACACGTAACTTATGTGTATGTAGCTTTGTTGTCCTGTCATTCAGCTCGCGTTGGTATTCTTCCCTTTTGGATAGAAGATCAGCTTCTTCCTCTAACAAGAGAAACTCAGAGTCTTCAAAATTCTGAAATCATAACAGATTTTAAGAAAACAAAATGGCAGGTGTTAGTGCTTCCCTGTTTAGACTTGATGAGTAATTTCCTCTGGAAATTTTATTCTGGTTCTGTGCTTGATGTACAATTTTAAAGAACAAAATTATTACTCCAGTCAACTTCCTCTAAGTCAAATGTTCTTAAAGTGGAATTTTCCTCTAAATTAAACTTTTTTTGGTCCTGTTTTAATTTTTTGTAAGAGCAAAAAGCCCTGAGAGAGGAATTTTTCTCTGAGTAGAACTAACAATTTGGTCCCTATGCAGTTAGCCATAAAGGAATTTAATTGTCATATGGTTTTCACGTGTGATACACAATCGGTTCACAAAAAATCAGATTTTTGAAGGTCAAGGTAAATCATGCTGAAAAACTAATCTTTTGTTGGGCTCTTGAGACCACGGATACATAGGCTGTTGATCATGTACGTAGGAATCATACCTCAACCACTAGTCCTTAAACATAGCCTTATCAGACAAAACTCATACCCACTACACCGTTAGGGTGTCCATGTCAGAAGATAAAAATTGATTCAATATAAACTGCACGCAAGAATAAAGAGTGTTTTTAAGTTTCCACATTACAGTGCTACCATATTTTTCATGCTGAAAAAGAAATGCACACATCACCCAAGTCTATTCACTTTTGCTACTCTCTGATGAATCACTTCTGTCCGCTATCATATGGATGAGAACCATTCGGTTCATTTACTGTAATAATTAAAGAGTGCACACATTTGACACAGCTTGTATTCCTAGTGAAATTTTAATGATCAGGACTCCAGTCTTACTTAAGTTGAGATGTTCGACGAGACTTACCTTCTTTTCATACTCGAGATTTTCTTGTTTTAGCTTGTAGGACTGCATTAACTCATCCTGTTCTACTACATCACAATTGAACACTTTCTCTTCCAATCTGAGACAAATAAAGTAACAGGAAATTAAGGATGGTTTCATCTTCTTTGGAGAAAGCTGGTGCTCATTAGCAAGTTCTTACCACAAACGATCAGCAGAATAATGAATGAGATTAATCAGTTTCATGATTTTTGAAAATGAAACAGTCAAACTCAAAACAATTCACATTTCCAGTGACCGGTAACAGTATAAAATAATTGAGATGAGTGCAACTTTAAGTCAGTAGTAACTTCAATATGATTAAGAGGAAGATTCTTGGCATTACACCAGTTGTATTCTTAGCGTGTTTACAGATTGGTACTAAAACCTTTCCTGAAAATCATGCATCGCTTGGGATTTTATACATACTTAAGACAAATGGAATCAAAGATGGATGTCTTCATTGAATGTTCAAAAGGACCAATTTCAGACTCTATTTCAAGTAGGCAATTATAAAATAAAATTATTTTGATGGTAAAGTTACGGTACATTAAGAATATCATCAACTATGCATTTTTTGGTAGATAACATATAATAGATATTGTGGAATTTACTCACTCATTTAAAGATTTCTGCTCTTCTTCCAATTTCCGCTTACTCTCTGCTTGTTGTGCAGTGCACTTTTCTATTTCTTTCTCAATATTCAACAATTTTTCTTGCAGTACCCTCAAGCTTTCTTCCTCTGCTTTGATCACTCCAGTTTCAGACTTGTACTCTCCTTCCAATAGCGCACATTCCATCTCCATCTGTAAATTGAGGTACAAATTATGACAAAAAACACAAGAATTTAAACTAATAAGTGTTGTCATTCATTCCTCCACCACAAGCCTCAAATATATTCAAAGCCGCTGGCTGGTGGGGTGCAAGGGGAGGGAGAAAGTGAGAGAAGGGAAGAGGTCTCCAAGTGGCAGGCAACGCTTGGATTTCCAAAAATTTCCCTTAATACTCCCGCAATGTTAACGTTAACTCCTCATGACTTCCAAACAAATTAATACCCCCAAATCCCTGACTAGCTTTTTATCTAAGCTGATCCTTTTAAGATCAATTGAAGAATTTAAAAGTCTGGTTTTTGTTCAAATTTACGGATCTACACAATGAATATATTTAAAGATACATACTAAGAGTAAAATTAGTTACACATTTTTTCCCAAGTGATGTCAAGCTACAAAGGTTTTAACTTTGACACCCCCCTGTGCTTCTTCCAGATTTTGTAGATGGAGCTAAATTTTGGGAAATGACGTCTTAGACCAAGTAGAATTCAAATACTAAACTTCAAGAGAATCCAAAGGGAGCAAAAAAAAGGGGTGCTTTGAATCACGCTCATTATACCAGGACTTTCCAACACCAATGCAGAATATTTCAAACAGTAATGATTGTTAACAAGGAGCATAGTCCATGGTATAATAATAACATTTAAAAAATAAATTTTGATACTGATGCAAACATCCAAGATTTTTTCTTTTGGAAAATCTTATGAAATTTTATTTTTTATCATTGATAAGGTTGAAGACTGCCACGTAAGAGCCCCTTGGAGTCTCTAATAAAGGAGGTATGGTATGCATGGACTAAATCATACCTCTCGCAGAATCTCATCTTCTTGCTGGCGAATTTCAAGGACCTTCGATTTGAACCCCACCAAATCTTTCAGCATTGACTGCCGCTCATTCCTCAATGTATCCTTATCAAAGTCCAAAGACCTTCGCTGGGCTGTGATTGCAGAGTCAATTTCATCCAGCGGCAGTATGAATTTACTCTTCTCCTTTGGTACACTCATCTCCGGCTTGCTTGGCGAGAAACTGGGAGTTTTCGAAGGCTGGTTTACAAGCTTGTTTAATTCATAAACCAGATTATCTATCTTCCGCTTTTCTTCCTCAAAACCATCTTGAACACACCGTTTTTGATTTGGAACATTCTGGTAAATCGTCTTGTCTTTAAGCTTCTTTACATCTGCCTGTAGTGCACTGACCAAGTCATTTCGGTTAACATCACCATTGGTTAAATTATGAGGCACAGAGGTGAGTCGTTCATTTGAAAAGGACCGGCTCAAAGAGTTAACTCCGTTCAAGTCGTTTCTCACCGACTGTTCTGTGTAGCTGCGTGACATGATGTCAATGTTTGACTTTTTAATGTTTCCATTCTGGAGTTTTTTGTGCAATGAGGGTGAAAATGAGTTAACGGTGCTGTTGGGAATAGTTGATTGTTTGTCAAGCTGCATTTTGAAAGTTGATAGATTGTTTGAGCCATCTCGAGTGTAATGGTTCAACCCATTGTAAGTTGTATAATGTGGTTTTGGAGAGGAAGCTGCATTCGATCCTAACTCACTGAGACTAGCAATTCGAGTTTCCAACTGTTCCAGACAAAACTCTTCACTGCAACAGACAGAAGGAGACTGATTAACGTAACTTAAATGTTTAGGCTATTCTTTTTCACTTCAATTAAGGCTTTTTGACACCCCTTTCTGGGGGAACCCCCTTCCCTTATAATAGTTCGTCACGCTATGCTCACATCCTTCTGTAAATTACTTAACACTGACTCTAACTAACTTTTTTCAGTTTTTCTGAAGATATCAGCAAAAGTTCATTAAAATGCTTAAGACAAATTGATTATGAAATGGCAAACATGGAAAAGAAAATATAGAGTATTGCAATTAAAAAATGAAAAATGAAGTAAAAAAAAAAAAGAAAAAAATTGTAGTTCCTTGGACTATTTGTCATAAATTACATTTAATTATGTCAAAAATGTGTTACATGATGCTTGACTGAATACTTTATCACCCCGTGTGGTCCTTAAACTGATAGTGAAGACATGAAGAGTCCTTCATTTTGCAAGTCTGCAGCCATTTTAAAGAGAGATCAACACCAAAAAAACAAATATGATTTGCGAGATTTGATGCAAGATAATATTTTTGATTGGCAATAGAAGCAATGTGCAGGAGAACGTTTGCGCTCATCCATTATATACTTCGAAAGATCACAAAACAGTAACTGCTTTTTAAATTTTATAAATTTTTTTCACTTCTGATGGCGGTGTTTTTAATATTCAAATTTCAGGAATGTACTGAAAAGCTTTGATAATATTAAAGGTATAGAAGGTTGAGAAATGTTTGTCTAATGTGAGAAGAGGGTAAAACCCCATGTAACATAGTGTTTTGTGTTTCTTCCCAGGGCACAATGAACACTTAATACTATCCTTTGCAAATACTTCATCTTGATAGAAAAAGTAGAAATTATTTGGCAATTTGCAAAATAAATTTCTTTCAGCACATTTCCTTCAAGTTAAGAACATAATAGCACAACCACTTCAAAATATGGAAATGATATCTTACCTTGGAGAGGTATCCTTTCTTGAGACGGTAGTTTTTATCCTCGTTCTAGGGCTGTTGGGTTGCGAAATGATACTTTCACAGCTCCGCCTGGTTGTGTCGCTGACTTCTAGATTATTCCTCTTCTCAAAATCAAAATGAGCAGTCTTGGAATACTTATCACTATAAAAACACACCAACGCCGATTATTATGGGCATATACACAGCATAGAAACACAATCGAAAGTAGTGTAGGGAAATATGAGTCTAGTTATGGTACAGAGACGCATGACAATGCTCACAAGAATTCTGAGTGGATGCACAATTACTGAAGATAAGTCACACGTTCACATTTAGGCATAGACACACACTATCCTGATTTCTATGGTTGCAGCAGTGGAATGCTCTCTGTCATAACTTCCTCCAATTCACTTGAAAACCGTTCACACGCCTTATCTCTGTGTTTTTTATCTCCTGAAAGTGTGAGACTGTTTTTTGGGGCTATTAATACTTCTTATCTTGAGAATTAACAGCCGGTAAATAAGAGACAATATTTCCAAGGGGTCTTAATTGGAAAAGTAAATGCTTATATTTTTGGATAAACTTTGACAAAAAGAAAACAAACTGCAATACAATGTTGCACATTTCCCCACCCCCCTATTACATCTTTAATTTTGATAAAATTGATGAAAAAACTCTGATAAAAATAAGAAAGAATATTCCACAGAAATGGCCAGGAATTAAGGAGAAAAGTTAAAACACAACAAATATTCAGACAAAAGCTGTAACAGATATTATGAATTTCTTAACATGACCCATGATCAGTTAGGTCCTTTCAGAAAACACCCAATCTAAATACATTCTTACTGCTAGTGGACATCATTGATAAAATAGGTTGTGCTCCAAGACAGGAGAAAGTGAGCCTACATTACAGGTGTATTACAAGTGTATTACAGGGTGGGAGGGGATGCTCAGAGCTGCATAACGTAACACCAGAATGGGTAATGAATAGCTCCAATTTTTCGAAAATCTATGATGTAAAACCAACGCAAGGTAGCAATTTTAGACGGCAACATTTCATGACATAGTGCTCATTTGAGAGGGGGGTCATGGACTGAAAGAGCAATCCTTCCAGCGGAGTTCAGACCTATCTTAAGGGTGCTTTAAGGGGAGGAAGCAGGGGGTGGCAGTTATGAAAAAAAAATCCGTTTTTTGGCTTTCCTTCTTTCATCATGTTAAATTGACCTACAGAGAAAGCTTGAAACTGATTTGACTTACTCTTTTGGTGAGGATCCATCAAAATTGAAAGAAGTATCCCTGGAATATTCAGACAAACCATTAGGAGAGCCGAGATGTTTATCACGTGGCAGCGAACCATTGGTGATAATTCTGTAAGAAAGGAATAAAAATAAAAAGTGGCACAGACTACAGATGTAGAGAGTAATCTGGTAGAAACAGCCTAAAATTTGTTTGATTTTTGTTTAAACTTTTCTAAGAGCAGAATTATTACTTTAGTTTGAGTTTTGCAGGTTGAAAAATACAAACACGAATAAACAGATCTGTAAATTGATACTTACTGGTACTTTGATGACGTCATTTTGTTGTAATTTTAGAGAGTGAATGTGAGAGTGTATTTTTCTCTTAAGCTCAGAGCAAAACTACTGATTCTCATGTTTTGAAGGTAAATTAGAGGTAAAAGGAGATAAACTGGGGGAGTCTTTAGAGTCCATACCAAATAGTTTACTCACTTTCAGAGTGGGGTAAAAGATCTGCCATCTTTATTCTTGTATTTACCTTCGATTCAATTCTGAACTAAAGATAGCTGTACTTTTGTCACATAAAAATAAAAAACTAAAACAAGAAACAAATAAACCAACATGAACTTATATGTACTGCATTCAGCAGAGAGGAACCAAGCCACATCAGCTATTGCCAAATTTAACTGACGATTTAATTTTTTACAAGAGAACGTTTCGGATTCCTTTGAAAATTTTAAGGAGTTTGCTTCGTACTATGCAGAAAATGCACTGAAATTCGCACAAAAATCGGCACAACCGTTTTCGTGTAAAAACTTGAATTGCCCGATTAAATTTGATAATAGCTGATGTGGCTTGATTCCTTCCTGCTTGACACTGTCCATTTGGTGTGTACTCTATAGATAATAATTTCAAATGCCACCGCCTGACCTGAATCCAACCAAAAAACCAGTGAAGTATGATTATCAACCAATCATACCTATTATGATGAGGTTTTGCTGACTGTTCCAATGTTTTCTTCTCATAGTCTGCAAAAACTGAGAGGATCTCATCTAGCTGCTTCTTTTCTGCTGCTTGGATTGACAGCTGCTCATCTAATTGCTATTATGAAATAAAGAAAAATAAATGAAACGAATACAGAAAACAAAGAATTCATCAAAAGATCCTATTGAGCATTTTTTAAGTAGGCGCAGTCAAAGAATAAAAAAAGCAATATTCCAAAAGGCCATAATAAAAAACCAGATGATGTAAAATGCAAGAGCTTTCAGGTGCACCGAGTTCAAAATTGGAGGATATTCAAGGCCTTTAAAATTTGAGGAAAAATTCAAGCAAATTCAAGGGCATTTCATGAGATTACGAACCCTGGTGAGTTTAGAGGCAGCCTGCTACTCAACACTTTGTCTGGAGTCGAAAAATGCGTGTCTTAAATTGTGGCGTTGTAAGTCTCTGCATTATTTTTTTAACAGAAAAACTAACCAACAGTTTCTATGAACATTTTCTGTGGATCTTCTTCCCTCATTAAAAAATAATCCACACAAAACTGCAACAGGGCATGTTCATTAGTTTTACTCAAGGAAAATAAAACATAATCATGATTTTTAAACATTCCAATTGAGATACACACGTTATTCGCATTTCACCATTGATAAGACTATGTTCATGATCTATGGAGTAGAGAGAGACCATTACAGAGAAAGAAAATTGTTGCTCTTTTGAAAGACAGTTACAGAGAAAGAATTTCTTGCGCTTTTTTTTTTATTTTGAAATGACTTATGAGTTTTTGATGTTGTGTTATATATTTTTTGTGATGAAATTGAAAATAGTGTCATTATTGTAAAAATATTATTTCTGAAAGAAAAGGAAGAAAAACCACAATTAAAAGGTAGATTTTTAGGGTTCAACGCAGGATTACTAGGTACCTACAGAATTTAGGAAATGAAATTCCCTGACATTTCCCTGATCTCCCGCCACATTTTGGTATAACTTTCTGACAATTAAAAGTATGCCTTACGATTAAAAAGACTAAATTTGAAAAAGATGTCACTCAAAATCTGTTGATTGAAACATCAAACACATTCTGGAGAGCAAGTATAGGTGATTTAACAATTTTTCCCTGACATTTTTTCGTCATATTCCCCAAAATTTCCAGGTTTTCCATGACTTTTTCTTTTTTTTTTTCTTTTCACCATTATTTCCTGATGTTGCAATCCTGTCAACAGCAAAATTTCCTAGTTCTGAAACCCTGATTTGATACGAATGAAAGTAATTTCTCGGCTTTTTCAGATTCTCCCAAACTTTTCAAGAACTAATCGCCCCGTCTTAGAAGTTAATAATAAAGTGGGATCTTAAAAAAGGCGAAACTGCAACTTACACTCACCTTGTTCAGCTCGAGATCATAATTATACTGACTACACGGCCCAGAGCCACTGCATGAATAAGGGTAACTTGACTGAGAACAGTACGGATGATAAGACGACAAATCATCTTCGTAACTTGCTTTAGATTGAACCATGCTGTGCACTGGTGAAACTACACCGCTCTTATGCGCTGAGTATGTGGGGTTTCGGTCAAAGGATGCACTGGGACGTGACAATACCTTCCCTCTGATAGGCTCACCTCCTCCTGAATGACCGCTCCCATTGACTAAACTTGGGGGCAGGTCACTATTATTTACTTTGCTCGACTGGTATGAGCAGTTTATGTTCTGGTAAATAACTGAGTTGTTCAACTTTGAGCAATTGTCATTGGCAGCAGGGGATTTGTTAAGTTTCGAGATGTGATTGATCGGTGAGTTTTGTCCGAAAACAGCGTCGGCGGGTGAGTTGACTGTGACACTCCCACGAGGAAAGCATTTTGGTGAAATGTATTTGTCAACAGGTGTGACATTGAAAGTTGATTGTACTTTTTCCTTTTTGGAATCTGAAAAAAGGGAGAGAAAATACAATTTTGGGCTAGTACCTATGACAAGAGATTGCGCTAATGGGTGCCTCAATGGTATAAAACTTTGTCAATGTCGCTAAGATTATACAAGGCCTCTTCATTTATTTTCTTCTTTTACAGGCATCTAAAAGCTTTTACTTTACATATTTCTCTGCCAAAACATTAGGAATAATACAGAAAAAAATCAGTGGCTAATCGCGGAACAAAAGGTATATTTCTTTGAAAGATAAATAGTTTAAAAAATGCACAAGTTTGGGAACGTTTGGTTGAAAAGGGCTTCATATGTTCTTCCTTTTCCTTTCACGGTTGCCACAATTTGCTGAAAAATTGAAAGTTTGTACTGTACTCACCGTTAAACTGATTTAATCCGAATGAATTCGACTGCATGGAAGACTTCATCATATTGGAAAGAAGAGGATAGTTAAATTTAAAAAGACCCGACTGTCCAACTGCAATTGTGCTTCCTGGAAAGAAATTATGAAACTAATAAATGAAAAGAAATTGATATTTTAGAGTGAAAACAAATATAACTAAAAGTTAGAAATAAGATTCAAGACTAATTTTTTCACTTGATTTTTCAATATCGGCAAATTGAGACCAAAGAGCAGCTAAGAAGCCAAAATCAAATAAAACAAAGTTTTTAAAAAATACAGAATACAAAATCGAGAGATAAGACGAGGTAAGTAGTATCACCATGATCCTGTTTCGGAACAATTGCACAAAAAAAAAATTAATTGCAAAATCGATACTCGGTTTTCTTCTAGAAAGGGGTGGAGGATATCTACCTGCATCTGATCTTTTGAATACGTCGTAAGCAGACAGCAACTGTCGGCAATCTGCAAAAGGCATGCGAGTCAAATCGTAAAATTGCAAAAATACGCATCGACGTAATAGGGGTTTCATTGGTAAAGAACTCTCAATGCAGAAACTCGGTATAAAACGCCTTCAAATGCGGGTGATACTCTCCACTTTGCCAGCCAGTTAGTTTAGATGCCTATCCGAGACAGACCCGACTGGGGACACTGATTTCACTACAAGCACTGGCGAGTATGCTAGGCGCCATGAATTCGCGGAGGGAAAAAGCATCCGTTTGAATTCCAAGCATCAATCAGTTCTTTCCATCTCGTTTTTTTAACTCTAAATTTTGACATTTTTTTCATTCAACCTGAACCGATTGCAATTTGCACGCGAAAGTTAATTACCTACGACAAATACTTGAGGGTCATATGTTAATATTGACATCACAAGAGTCAGAGTTTTGTGATTAAGCTTCAAAAGCCCGTACTCAAAGGTTGTCGAAAAATAATACTTGAGTCCACGTAAAATAAATTTAAGCACTTTTGAACTGCAACCGAAGATCCAACATCCCGATTTTTGCACTTACTTATCATGCTAAAATGACGTTAGACGATCTCCTATCGCAGTTTAAAACTGCGGAAACTTATTTGGCGTGGACTCTATATAAAGAGGGAGAGTAAGTCCTCAAATGAGAGGCAACAATGTTCATAGAAGGTTGCAGGCTTTCTTGAATTTTTAAACCAATATCGTTACCTTCCAGCCGAAATATCAGAAACGCCACGCAACGTTAGAAAATTTCCGCCGCCATTTTATTTTTTTTCAGAGGAATTGTTCATCAAAGCTGTCCGAAAGTTTCATTAAATTTTCTTTGTGCTGCCGATAAAATTCAGTGAAATTTTCAAACAAATTCAACCGACAATTTCTCTGTAAACGAAGGAAATGGCGGCGGAAATTTTTAAACTCCGCAGGGCGCTTGTGATACTTTGGCCGGAAGGTGACGATGTGTGATGAGGCTATTGAGAGGTTTCCAGGCGAAAATGTCCATACAAGGTTGTAAGTTTTCTTGAATTTCTAAATTAGGTTTTTTTTATCTTCTTAAAGTTTTATCGAATTTTATTTTAATAATTTTTTTCATCATTAATATTTTTACATTTTTTTTAAAAATTAATACATATAATAGAGAATTTGCAGGTGTCTGAAATTTGATGATTTTCGTGTTTAAGTGGAAACTACTGAGTGAACTGAACAAGAGGATACTCTTGGTTCATGAATTGAATAATTATTGGAGAGGATATGACAAAATGGATTGCATTTTGCAAAAAGGAAACACTAGCATTGCAATGTTGCTAAAATTGTGCAACTTCTTTTGTCTTGGAAGAAAAGCCCGATGATCCATCAATAGTTTCTATTTTACTCGCTAAAAACTGTAAATTTAAGACAAAAATTACCACCTAAGTTTCATAGTTTTTCACGATTTCCGCAATTTTATTGCAAAAGATGAAGTTGCACAATCTTAGCAGCATTGCAATGCTAGTGGTTCCTATTTGCAAAATGCAATCCAAATGATCTAATCTGCTACAATACGTGTGTTTAAATGGGAAATGCCGCCAGATGACGTCACTAAGCGGTGAATTTTCTCACTTCGAAATAATTTGTTTATTTTTTTCAAACTTCTGTTTCTATGTTCAACGCAATAAATGACGAGGCTGGTGAGAAATGTTCAAATTTTGATGACATTTCAAGAGGTTGAGATTTAGCGTAGGAGTGTTTTCTAAGTACCTGGTTCGAGCCGGACGGTTTGTTGGACGGCGCGGCCGTTGACTCGGGTGTCCTCGGCGAAAGGGGTGAGGGTGACGATGCCGTTGCGGTTCTCGAGGATGCAGTAACTCCCCAGGTCCCCGGCCCCGCCCCCACCCCCGCCCGCCTCCCTCGGGATCGCCACGTCCACCCCGCTTCCGCTCCCCACGCTCACGCAACCCGCTGCAACAAAATCAAAAATCAAAAAAATAAAACTAACTATCACAATAAACAGAAGGAATTTAATTTCGAATCACAGACTAAACACGCCGGACGAAGGAACGTAACTCTATCAGTGGCGTAGATAAGGGGGGAAGGGTCCAGACCCCCTGGACCCCCCCCCCCCCCCCCACAACTGATTTTAGAATAAAGCCACTGAGTACAAAACTAGAAAATACTTTCTTCTTTTTTATCTGCTGGCGTAAATGTAAGAGTTGAATTTTGAAAGGGACAACAGTATTTATTAATGAGTTAAGACGAGCTTACGTCTATTTTGGAGCTTCTGACTGGTCAGCGGTGCAGTTTCAGCACATCGACGGATGCATTTCGACGCAAAAATAACGAGAAAATTCTGTCGCAGCGAGTCCACTGTGCAAGCACCTGCACAGGTGCGCTTTGCTTATCTCATCATGAGCTGCGAAGATTGATATAGATGCATGTATTGCGCACTCTACTGACCTGCGCTGAGTGACGGGATCAGGATCAATCACACTGCGTCCTAAAATACCCGGTAAAAACTGGATTACGGATTATTTATCCAACCAACATAACTGTCACTTTCATTGGCGTACACTTTTTAAACCCATTGGAGAAACCTATGATCGACTGAAATAATATTCAAACAAAAGTGCATGTAAGAGGATACACATTGGTGTAACCTGTAAACTCAGTGACTCGCACGCATGGGGTTGAATGGAGATGTTGCATGTGTGAGGAATTTGCGATTCGACTGCTGATTCCTAAGTAAAAGTTCGCGAGAAACACAATGGTGCCACTGGTTTTCTCTGAAATTAACTCCCAAGCTCAAAAAAAGCTCTCAAGTTAAGGCCAAAATGGAGGGGATATCCCACCCTACCCTGAGAGTCCACGTCTACATCAAGACAAACTCTCCATGCAAAGATGGGGAGCAAATACATTAGCAGGGTTGCCGTGCGTGTTTTCAGTTTTGGAGCCCCCAAATAAACTGGCAGCCCTGTCAATGTATTTGCTCCCTATCTTTGCATGGAGAGTTTGTCTTGATGTAGACGTGGACTCTCAGGGTAGGGTGGGATATCCCTCCATTTTGGCCTCAACTTGAGAGCTTTTTCTGAGCTTGGGAGTTTATTTCAGAGAAAACCAGTGGCACCATCGTGTTTCTCGCGAACTTTTACATAAGAATCAACAGTCAAATCGCAAATTCCTCACACATGCAACATCTCTACTGCATGTAAGAGGATAGGTGCACATTGGTGTAACCTGTGAACTCAGGACTCGCACGCATGGGGTTGAATTCGTCGCTTGGCTGACATAAGGCCGTAACTACACATTGCGATGAGCCCGAAAAAACATTGAATTGTACGGAGGACAGGGTTCATTGCAGAGTGCAGTTACGCCCTTATGTCAGGAGGGCGACGAATTGAGGTGTCACTATGAAAGGAACCTGGGGATCAGCTTTGCTTGGGAGCACTATCTAAGTTCAAACAACTGCTATCAACTAGAGTCTATCAACTGGCGTCTATCGACTGGCCGTAATCTATGATCGATACAACTTCAGCTCCCCGCGATTGCTTGGCGGCGGCCTCATAAATCTATTCGCCCTACGTCGCACAGTGGATCGAGTCAATAGGAGAGGTCGGACAAAATTTGGAAACTTTAAACGCTTATAACTTTGTTTACATAGAGTTTTGAAGTTCCATGAGTGGTTTCATTGGTTTTCTCGTGACGTTTTCTTCCGGAAGCACCCCTTGAAGTTCAAAATGTGACGAAATAAACATCAAAGTTTGCAGTTTTAGTCAAAAATTTCATGTCCGACCTCTCTAATTGACTCGATCCACTGTGCGTCGCGTCGTGTTTCGGATACATGGGTAATCGAAACACGTCGCGTTGTCTAACAATCGGCCTCGTCAGAAGGATGAGGCCCCCAGGGGACTGTCACGACGGAGTGGTCTTCGGTAAAGTACCCTCATAGGGCGAGTGCGGATACTTCGGGGATCTGAACTGCCGTGCTAATGGAGATGTTGCATTTTTGAGGAATTTGCGATTTGACTGTTGATTCTTATGTAAAAGTTTGCGAGAAACACGATGGTTTTCTCCACGATGGTTTTTGGCCACTGGTTTTCTCTGAAATCATCTCCCAAACTCAAAAAAAGCTCTAAAAAAAATTGAGGCCAAAATAAAGGGGATATTCCACGCTATCCTGCGAGTCCACCTCTACATCGAGACAAACTCTCCATGGAAAGAAAGGGAGCAAATACATTGACAGGGCTGCCACTTCATCTGGGGACACTCTCTCTCTCTCGCGGGAAACACGATGGTGCCACTGGTTTTCTCTGAAATCAACTCCCAAGCTCAAAAAAAAGCTCGCAAGTTGAGGCCAAAATGGAGGGGATATCTCAGGCTATCCTGAGAGTCCACCTCTACATCAAGACAAACTCTCCATGCAAAGATAGGGAGCAACTTTATTTGGGAACTCAAAAACTGAGAACACGGCACCCCTGTCAATGTATTTGCTCCCTATCTTTGCATGGAGAGTTTGTCACGATGTAGAGGTGGACTCTCAGGATAGCCTGGGATATCCCCTCTATTTTGGCCTCAACTTGAGAGCTTTTTTTGAGCTTAGGAGTTGATTTCAGAGAAAACCAGTGGCACCATCGTGTTTCTCGCGAACTTTTACAAAAGAATCAACAGTCAAATCGCAAATTCCTCACCGTGCAACATCTCCATTCGCGTTAACCAGGTTCCCTGTTGGCTTGAATTGAGAATATAATTTTCACGATTTAAATTATAGTCGAACTCAGAGGTTGGGTTTCACAACTTTCAGTCGACTGTAAACCAAAACCAACTAGATTTAGGCCCTGCCGGTAGGTATTCTCCGAGCAACAGCTGTTCTCATTCGGCTACGACGAGCGACCAGCGTAGCCGCGGGCAGGTGCGAGGATCTTGATTCGTGACTCGCGGTGACAAGTGGCCCTTGAAGCGGATCGCCGATTTCGTCGCCGACTGCGACCGATCAGTGATCAATGATCATCGGTCGATCTACGAGCCGAACGCGTCAACTCAACAGCCAAGTGGCGCTGTGCTGGCCCGTTTCCGCCCATCCGTGAGTCCGTGACCCATTAACCCAGAGTCATGTCCCGATCAACGTCAACTGTCATCGTGTCCTGCTGGTGGCCCGTCGGGAATTAGGCAGGAGCCGGGAGCTTCGCTTTCGGCGAAAACGGCAACGGAACGGCATGAAGGGTGTTGTCTTGACTCTCAGTATAAAGGGACTCTATCCGCAACCACGTAACTCGGTTTGCGACGTCGCGGATTTCTTGTCATATTTTATTTTTTATACGGAAAACTGCTCAACGGCAATTCTTTAAAACTGCCGTGATTTTTCTTCTCTGAGCGAAGAAAATTCTACAAAAACTTCAAGGAATGATGTCAATTTGTTCTCCTTAAAAAAGATAATACAGGGGCGGAGATTTTCAAATGCCGCAAACGAGATACGTGATTCTTTCGAAAAGAGTTTTCTTTTCAAAACTTGAGAGTTTTTTCTGAACTTTTTAAGATAACTGGTATCGCTGGGAAAAGCAATAGGTGATTTGATTGGGGTTAAGACTGACCTTCAGGCAGGGGGTATAGTTTGCAGGGGGGGTTGAGCGAGACCAAATGGGGCGACATCTCCACAGAGCCGACCCCCACTCCGACTCCGGACATCTGAAAACAAAACAAACGAACAAATCAAAACATACTCATCATCGACCAACTATTCAAAATAAGACAACGATAGACAAAACATCGTGGAGACACCGCAATAAAGCTGTTGTTTACACGGTCTATATTTAGTGTAGAACAGAGGAAAGCGTTGCAACTTAGTGGCTGAACTCCGGACTTATATTTGAGGGGCTTGGAGCACAAGGCGCAAAAGAGTAGTTTTTGCCATTTTGAGAACTACGTGTTCGAAGTTTCGAAATTACATGGAACTTTATGTCGGAAAGAAAGTTTAAAAAGTTTGGGAGCGAATTTTTCACAGAAAAAACGACTTAATCGGCCCGAAACACTAACAAAGAAACAACTTAAAATGGAACTAAGGCCGCAAATAATAAAAAGAAACACATTGAGGTTCATAGTGTCCTTCTTTTAATTTTCTTGTTTTGCCGGTTGAAAATGCGGGTGTGATCCCGCAAGGCTCAGCGGCCGTCTGATAGCCAACGGTAGGTCTTATCAAAGACTCAATTATTTATATATATTATGTATTAAGATCGTGCGTGTATTTATATTTGCGGTTGTGCTTCCCGGTGACTGTTTTGGTGGTGGGAACTCAAGGCTCCGTCGAAGGTGGCGCNATAGAGTCGTAATGTAAATGGGAGAGCTGGCGCCATGTTCTGCTCGACGAATTCCGAGCCCGGTGTGCGCCGAGTTCGGGTCGCTTTTTCGATACATTTTCGATCCAAAATGGCGTTGTGGAATACGTGGTAGTTCCTATCTCCGTTGTTGTTGTTGTTGTCATCGGATGGCCGGGTACCCGTGTATCACAAACAATCGATTATGTATCGAAAAAGTGACCCGGCGTCACACAGGAGTCTCGGAATTCGGGACATGGAAAATGCTTAAAAGTGGCGCCAGCTCTCCCAATTACATTACGACTCTATGTACTCTATGACTAAAACCAACTAGATTTAGGCCCTGCCGGTAGGTATTCTCCGAGCAACAGCTGTTCTCATTCGGCTACGACGAGCGACCAGCGTAGCCGCGGGCAGGTGCGAGGGTCTTGTCTTGATTCGTGACTCGCGGTGACAAGTGGCCCTTGAAGCGGATCGCTGATTTCGTCGCCGACTGCGACCGATCAGTGATCAATGATCATCGGTCGATCTACGAGCCGAACGCGTCAACTCAACAGCCAAGTGGCGTTGTGCTGGCCTGCTGGCCCGTTTCCGCCCATCCGTGAGTCCGTGACCCATTAACCCAGAGTCATGTCCCGATCAACGTCAACTGTCATCATGTCCTGCTGGTGGCCCATCGAGAATTGGGCAGGAGCCGGGAGCTTCGCTTTCGGCCAAAACGGCAATGGACTACTAGACAGGGTACGAATTTTAGCATTCTGATACATGCTTCTTAACCAGAATTTCACGTAAAACACGATTCGCGCAACGAAAATTACTGAAACCAACTCCTAACGGAGATATTAACATTTTTATTTCACATTGGTTACGAGAAATTTGAACTGCCCGCTCACAAGAAACTCAAAGCTCTACGAGAGTCAAATCGAGCACTACAACGGTTTCAGCAAGCCTCTCAGTCAAGCAATATACATTTCCCACCACGTGTTGTTTAAATTACAAGCAATTTGCTATAGCTGAGCCAGAATGTCAAGATTGAGGTTGCCAGATTTTTATATAGCAGAGACTGCCATGATAACGTTTAGCGCTCGATGTGAATCAGGTAGAGCATTTGCGAGTTTTCATGAGCGAGTGGTTTGAATTCACGCATCAAGAATCACTAAATAGCTTCGTAAGGAGTTAATTTTTGTAATTTTCGTTGTGTGCATCGTGTTTTACGTGAAATTTTGGTTTATGAGCATGTATCAGAATGCTGAAATTCGTACCTTGTCTAGTGGTCCATTCGACGGTGTAAGTCCGCACTCCGCAACCACGTAACTCGGTTTGCGACGTCGCGGATTTCCTGTCATATTTTATTTTTTATACGGAAAACTGCTCAACGGCAATTCTTTAAAACTGCCGTGATTTTTCTTCTCTGAGGGAAGAAAATTCTACAAAAACTTCAAGGACTGATGTCAATTTGTTCTCCTTAAAAAAGATAATACAGAGGAAGAGATTTTCAAATGCCGCAAACGAGATACGTGATTCTTTCGAAAAGAGTTTTCTTTTCGAAACTTGAGAGTTTTTTCTGAACTTTTTAAGATAACTGGTATCGCTAGGAGAAGCAATAGGTGATTTGATTGGGGTTAAGACTGACCTTCGGGCAGGGGGTATAGTTTGCAGGGGGGGTTGAGCGAGACCAAATGGGGCGACATCTCCACAGAGCCGACCCCCACTCCGACTCCGGACATCTGAAAAAAAAAAACAACAAACGAACAAATCAAAACATACTCATCATCGACCAACTATTCAAAATAAGACAACGATAGACAAAACATCGTGGAGACACCGCAATAAAGCTGTTGTTTACACGGTCTATATTTAGTGTGGAACAGAGGAAAACGTTGCAACTTAGTGGCTGAACTCCGGACTTATATTTGAGGGGCTTGGAGCACAAGGCGCATAAGAGTAGTTTTTGCCATTTTGAGAACTACGTGTTCGAAGTTTCGAAATTACATGGAACTTTACGGCGGAAAGAAAGTTCAAAATGACTTTTTCATGCTTAAGGTGATTCGACGGACGCCATATTTTGTGTCAGAACGGAATGCGATATATCGCATCAATTGGTTCCATTTTTTCAGCTACTCGTCATTTTTCTCGAATTTTGAGATCGCAATTCTGTTGTAAGGAGACGAAAGCACTTACTTACCAATTTTAACAAAGAAATTCAACATAATAAAGGCGTGGTTTTTTCAGAGCGATAGATACTGACATCGAAACTGCACTCGAATGCGATATTTTCTCTCTAAAAAAACCACGCCTTTATTACGTTTAATTTCTTGGTTGAAATTGGTCAGTGAGTGCTTTAGTCTCCTAACAACAGAATTGCGATCTCAAAATTCGAGAAAAATTAGGAGTAGCTGAAAAAATAGAACCAATGGATGCGATATGTCGTATGCCGTTCTGACACAAAATATGATGTCCATCGAATCGTCTTGGAGACTTGGAATTTAGGAGCGAATTTTTCACAGAAAAATGACTTTATCGGCCCGAAACTCTAACAAAGAAACAACTTAAAACGGGACTGAGGCCGCAAATAATAAAAAGAAACACATTGAGGTTCATAGTGTCCTTCTTTTAATTTTCTTGTTTTGCCGGTTGAAAATGCGGGTGTGATCCCGCAAGGCTCACAATCAGCGGCCGTCTGATAGCAAACAGTAGGTCTTATCAAAGACTCAATAATTTGTATATATTATGTATTAAGATCGTGCGTGTATATTTATATTTGCGGTTGTGCTTCCCAGTGACTGTTTTGGTGGTGGGAACTCAAGGCTCCGTCGAAGGTGGCGCATCCGGCGTCCGGTGCACGTTGAGGCGAGCACGCGTAGCTCATGAACATCCGTGCTTACTGATGAAGGCAAGTCAGGAGCGTGAAGGAAGGAAACCGTCTCATCGAATATGCTCCGCCACCGGCTCGTCTATACTGCCGTGCTCAGGGAAAACGCCGTATGAACCTTCAGGCGTTGCCAAATTTCCTGTGATAAAACGCGAATTACCTTGTAAACTCATGAAAATTTTCCTTCCAATTTTTCAGATAATTGTGTTCGCAATTTCACTTAAAAATTTTGAAGATTTAAAGGAAAAAGCTTCGTATTTATCCTCAAAAATAACCATTTTATAGAGGGAAATTTGGCAACTCTCGAATGTTCATACGGCGTTCTTCCTTAGCACAGCAGTACACTCGTTGTTGGATCTTGTAGGTACACGGAAGAAAGCTCCGCTCGGAACGACCGGATGGAGTTGTTGCATGCAACGAAGTCTTCTACTTGGGGATGTTCGAGTACTTACTATTTTACGAGAAACACAAAGGTGCCTTTAGTTTAATCCGCAAAATCGTGACTTTCACAGGATTGCCACAGAATTTAAAAAAGAATTTCCCTGACATATTTCGGTAAAATTCCCTGGAAATTGAAGCTATGCCAGACGGTTAAAAATACATAACTTGAAATAGTTTTTAGGCGAACTTAATTTTCGAAACGCCAAGCTCATTTCAGAAAGCGATTAAAGACGACTGTACGGCAAAAATGGCATAATTTGAAATAGTTTCCAGGCAAAATGTGTTGTTCTAGACGTCAAATTCATTCTAAAAAGCTAATATAGGCAATTTTTCCCCGACACTTTCGTCATTTTCCCTGACATTTCCAGGTTTTCCCTTACTTTTAAAATTCCCTCCGGTTTCCCCGTATTCCCTAACTGTGGCAACTGTGCTGTTACTTTAGTGTCCCTTTAAATTTTGAATGAGACGAACTAAACAGTAAAACGCCTAATTTGAGTCGAATATTGCAAATCCAACCTCTCCCATAGGCTCATTGGACGCATTTCTGCCAGACGGAACTATGCGCATCATCACGTGAGCCTTATGCATATATTCTTATGGGGCTTCCAGGACTTTATGTCCACCTACCTTTCGTTAAATAAATGTCCACCGCTACTTAGGTCCACTAAACGTTAAGTCCAGTCTTTATTAAGTCCACATGATTTAATGTCCAACCATGAATATGTCCAAAATTGTCCAAATTGTGGACATGTTATGTCCACATTTTTTTCTTCTCATTTAAATGCCAGGAACCACCTCAAAAATAAATGCATACTACCACTACCTTCATTCTTAAAAACATTTCATTCATTAATCAAGTCATGAAAGAGAACAGACTCTAAGAGCAGATAAAAACATAGTTAGTTAGTTAGTATAATTTTAAGACATTCAGGGTATAAACGTCTTCACAAATAATTTTGAAAATGGGAGTATAAACGAAAATTTAGATTTTTTTTTATGTTCATGTGTATAATGTACGGATATGATAAGATAAAAACCAAAGCGGGAGCCTAGGAAACGCT